GACCCCGTTGCGGGTCCTGGCCCGGTACGGGGGCGACACTGAGGGTTGCGATCCGTTGCCGGACACGAAAAAAGACAAAAAAAAAAAAAACAAAACAAAAAAAAGAAGGCAGGCCTTATTGCCAACACAGCAGACATTTTGGCCTAACCAATAAATGCTAGCCACTTTATTCTCTTCACCAAGAAATTAAATGAATGAAACAATCTAGGAGCTGGTTTAAACACTATTTGTCAGAGAAATGGCAGGAGGAAGGGAGAAAGTGCTTTCAACAATCAATATGTGAGAAGAATAAGAGCTCAATTTTTACTATATTGGGTTGAGGTAAAGGTGGGGATTCCAAGTATCCTGAAAACAAGAAAAACAGCAAGAATTCAGAGGAATGATCTATAAACTGCAACTGGCCCAGAGGTGAGAACTGAAGATAGAGAAATACAAGTTACTGTTGGTGAATACATGTCAAGGATGAAGGCTTTTGTTTCAAAGAAGTTTTATAGTTCAAATGAGAGGAAACAGGAATGATTAGAGGTTGAAAATACAGACAGCAAAGACAAAGGGAGGGGGGGTTTCAATAAGGTGAGTGATCAAAAAGTAAAAAATACAGGTGAAGGTAGAAAAGAAAAACCTAAGTAAATCTATGAATCTAGATTTTATGACATAGGAGAGGCTTGTATTAGAAGCAAAATGGGGAGAGACTGAAGATGGTATGGCTAGTTAAATGTAGCAAATGACGTTTTCAGGGCTTTTGTTGTTCTAGAAAAAGAGAAACACTGCAATAGTTAGAAGGAGCCACAGAGACTTTTTACTTTCATTTGGAAATGAAAGTAAACAAAAAAGAAGAATTCATTAGAGAAGATATAGAGGACAGGAGAAAGGGACTTAACAGCTTGAGAAAACAGCAAAGTCTGGGGCACAGAGCGTGGCTGAAGGAAGGACTCTGCTGTATGAAAGAGTAAGAAGTAGCTGAATGGAGTTAAAGTGAGGTGGTGCAAGTGGGGGAGATGGAGGTAACTCTGACACTCTTGGTCATTAGTAGTAAATGAAGTTGAGAGGGAATAGATGACGAATTAAAAAGAGAAAGAATGACTGCTGTGCTGAATGTAGGAAAAGAGGGAACAAATAACAAACTGCTAACCAGAAGCAGGCCCAGATCAGAATTGGGTTTTATAAATTTCTGGTAGGCTGGTTTTTCCAAGACTGGCATTGCATTACAAATTTATAGATGAATTTAAGGAGAAATTATTATTATTATTTTTTTGTCTTTTTCCGTGTCCGGCAACGTATCGCAACCCTCAGTGTCGCCCCCGTACCGGACCGGGACCGGTGTTGCTCCCGCGCCTCGCTCAGCCAGCGAGCGGGAACCGGTCTGTATGTGGGATCCGAACCCTCGGCGGGAGCGCCGCCGCGCTTCCCAAGCGGCGCACTATAGCAGTGCGCCACCAGGCCGGCCGAGAAATTATTTTTAAAATACTATTTCTGTTTTTCAAGAACAGGGCATGTCTATTTATCGTGGTCTTCTTTTGTGTTTCTTGGTAGGATGAATCTTTTAAACTAGCCTTCCCAGTTTGTAGCAATTAGTTTCTATGTAGATCTTTTAGGTCCTTAACAGAGAATAAAGTCATGAACTAGTCAACAGAAGTACATGTTCTCATAATACACACAAACATAATAAACCTTTCTGAAAATATACAGGGCTAACTATATTAAGAATTTTGAAGTGTGCATGATACTAATTTTTTTGTACTTTATTAAGGTGTAATTGAAGAACAATAAACTGTACATATTTAATGTATACAGTTTGATCACTTTTGATGTATCTTATACACCCACGAAACCATCACCATGATCAAGGTGATAAACATATCACCCCAAAAGTTTCCTAGTACCTCCTCATAATCCAACCCCTCCCCTTATAACCCTAACCCCAGGAAATCACTGATCTGTTTTCTGTCACTACAAATGTATCAAGAGCTCATTCTTTTTTATACCCAAGTGGTATTCCATTAAACAGATATCCACAATTTGTTTACCATTCACTTGCTGAAAGACATTAGAGCTATTTTTAGTTTTTGGCTATCACAAATAAATTGCTGTGAATATCTGTGTGTAAGTCTTTGTGCGAACATAAGTTTTTGTTCCTTTTGGAAACTTAGGAATGGAATGACTGGGTTGTAGGATAGGTGTATGTTTACCTTGAAAACACTGCCAAATGTTCTCCAAATTGGTTATATACCATTTTACATTCTCACGAGCAGTGCATAAGATTTCCAGCTGCTCAATCACCTTGATACTTGGTCAGTCTTTTAAATTTTAACCACCATGATATGTGTAATGCAGTTTTATTTGCATTTCCTTGATGACTAATGATGTTGAGTATCTTTTCAAATACTTATTGGCTATGCATATACCTTCTTTTTTGAAGTGTCAGTACAAGTCTTCTGCCCACTCAGTATTTTAAAGGTATCTTTATGCAGACCCTAAGTATATTTAATTATTATCTTTATAACATAATTTAGTTGAATGCTTTTCTTCAAATACATTTTCAAGGGTTATAAAATAATATACTTTACCAAAAATATATAACAGAACAAACAATAAAAAACAAAACTCTTTGGCTTCTCTGAAAAGAAAGTTTTTTTTTTTTTTTTTAAATTTTATTTTATTTTGTCAATATACAATATGGTTGATTATTGTGGCCCATTACTGAAACCTCCCTCCCTGAAAAGGAAAGTTTTAAAGAAGAAAATGTAGTCTGTGGGTACAGAACTGGTTGGGTGAAAGGAAGCCCAGATTAGCTAAGACAATTTTCTTGGTTCCTTTCAGATTTCAAGTTTCTTTAAAAAAAAAAAAAAAAAAAATTAGCTTAGTTTCTGAGGCAGATATCCTACCTGGAGATATTTATTTCCTTCTGCAAATGAATTATCATTTGGGGATTCTTCTCCCTTGGGTCTGATCACCTCTTGATAAGCTAACCATCAAAATTTGAGGACTTTGGGCTGGCCCCAGAGCTCACTAGGGAGGGCGCGGTGCTAATAGCACCGACGCCACGGGTTCGGAGCCTATATAGGGATGGCCGGTGCACTCACTGGCTGAGCGTGTTGCGGACAACACCAAGCCAAGGGTTGCGATCCCCTTACCGGTCCAAAAAAAAAAAAAAAAAAAAAATTGAGGACTTTGGTGGACTGAGATTTGGAGAGCACAGAGGTAACACTTATACCAGTGATTCTTAATCCAGGGTGATTTTGTCCTTCTTCTCTGCTGGGGCACATCTGGTAATACTTGGAGACATTTTTGATTGTCACAACTGGGGGGGAAGGTGTACTGGCAGCTAGTAGGCAAAGGCCAGGAATGCTGCTAAATACCCTACAATGCACAGGTCAACTCCAACAACAAAGAATTACTTGGTCCAAAATGTCTATAGCATTGAGGCTGAGAAACCTTGACTTAACACTAAGCCATCTTGTATAATATTTTTCATGTTGATACTTCAGGAATTTGGAGTACTCTAAAACTATGGACTGGTGAGATAAACAGGTTCAGAAATTAGGGAATCTCCTTGGCAGGAAAAGGCAACAAAAGAAGTAGGCAAACATGGAATTCATATTACAGTAATGAATGTTTTTAAAGGTACCTTTTTAACTTCCAAAGCACATTCCATCAACGCTTTCACACTTCCAACTTCCCGTAATGTCTTTTTACTATTTACATCGGCTCGCCAAGACAAATTCCTCAAAACGCTTGCAATAACCTGCAAAAGAATCAATTTTACTGTAATTCGTATATAAAATGATTTATACTAGTTGCTTTTTGTTTTTAATGCTAGAGGTAAGGTAATAAATAAATAAATAAATAAACAAACAAACAAATAAATAAATAAAATGCTAGAGGTTATTAAAAATTCCTCCTAAGTACTACTAGGGTGCGAATAGGAATTCCTACAATAAAATCATTTTCCTTTATTCTAGGTTAATGAAACCATACTTTAAACATGAGATACTAAATACTGAACCATAGCTTAATCTAAATCATGACATTAACCTGCTCCTGCTAATATACAAGAAAAAACATTTGAAATTCTAAGTATACCTGCTGTAAGTCTTCACTTTCAGATTTTAGTTGGGCCACAAGTGCTCTCATGCAGCCTTTCATAGAGCATAGTGTAGCCTGTGAAATTAAATAAGGAACAGAGGGTCATCAATGAGGCAACCTGAAACTGTGCTTTATTTCTGGCTATTAAACTTAAAACCCAGTTATCTCATTTTAATCATAACTGATATTTTACCCATAAAAGATCTAGAACAAGATTACCTAAGTGAAAGACAGATATACTCCTAATTCTTTGCTCTTTGTTTTTCCCTTGCCAAACTGTTAAAGTGAATAAATGATAAGAAATGATAAGCTAAGGTTTTAAAATAAGGTCTCTTATTTGGATAGTCAGTATGTGTGTAACACTTGCCTTGGTCAGCAGGATTTTCAAATTTTTGTTCTCGTTCTTAGAAACAGTGATTTTAATACAATTACATAAATCCACTACTGTGTTCCATCTGTAAATGTGCTTTTGCCCTTGTTGAGGCATAAAGTAACCAAATGAGTAAGGATATGCAGTAGGTGTGAAGTATAGGTTTTTATTAGTCATTGCTTAATAAGAAGACTGACAAAAAAGAAAATCAGTGAAAAGTAGTTTGTATGAAAGTAAATTAAATCATACCTGAGCTATCTTAAGAAACAGATCTTATAAAAACATACCTTGTTGGCTACATCTCCGAAAGTCAAGTTTGTCAAAGCCATTCCAGCATATCGTCTTAATGTAATACTGTAGTGATCATTAGTAAGCCCATACATTTCACAGTCCACTTGCAATAATTCTGCAATGGCCTGTAGTCCCCCTAATTTAAAAAGGGCAAAAGGAAAAAGACAATAATCTAAAATAAAACAAATTGGTACCAAGTTGGTAACTTAAATATTAAAAAAAACCCAAAAAAACTCAAAGATTGAGAAAGCATCGTTTAAATTTGCCCTTAGAATTACAAGCCACAAAAACTGTTATAAAGGACTTTTGTGTAATATATTTATAAAATACAACTGACAACTATTCTATTTTCTGCCATTTTCTCCACCCTCCAGCCCCTTGCCTAACTGAGTGAAATGAGTATCATTTTCTATTTACTGCATATACACTACTCCCTGCCAACTATGAAGAAGGCTATTTACTAACACTACCAGGTCTTCCTGGACACAAGAAGAAAAAGATAACATATTTACTATTAGGACTTTATAAACACTCTTCAGTGTCACATACTGTGGCCTAACTAATATTTTTTTTTAATCTGCAAAATAATTTCTCTTACGAATACTAAACCTTTTAAAATAAACTGTGCATGAAGCAAAGCTTATTTTTTTTGTGAAAAGTAATCACATCTGTTCCACTTATTACTAAATTCTATAAAACTACTTATTTGTTTTTTAAAAAATATCATACTTTTCTTTAATATTACCAAATACCAACTATACTAGGATTTAGTATTTTCTTTCCCCATGATTCTCACCACTGGGAATGCTCGACGATACCCACAGTGGTCAGCATTAGGAAGGTAAGGAGGAAAACAAAGGGAAAGGAAAGGGAAAGACATAAGGGAAGGAGTTAAAAAGAAAAAAAAAAGTGCAAAGCAAAATGGTGACGGAATGAACAAAAGAAAGATAAAATGCATATGGAGGCTATTCAAAATATTACTCATCATCAAATATTAATCATCATGGGACTTGGGATATTGTTTTGTCACAGAGAAATAGCTCAGGCAGAAAAAATAAAGATGAATATGAACAGGCAATTCTTGAATACTATAAGTCATAAATCTGAAAGAGAACCAGTACATAAATATTTTTGCAAATGATCTGGAAGGATAAGCATACAGAAGAATCTGCAAGTTCACAAAACAAAGTTCTGTCTTGGGTCAGGAATTCCAGGGCAAAAGATTTAACTGTAGGAAGATTCATGCAAATCTTTATAGCTAGCAGAAATAACAGATGAACTTGAATGTAGATAGGTACAAATTAATTTGTGTAAAGAAAACTCAAACTGGATTTAGGAAGATTTTCCTCCACCCACCTATGATGGTGGAAAAATAGTCAGTGAACAAAAACAGTCACTGTATTGGGCCGGCCCAGTGGCGCACTGGATAGTGCGCCCCTTGGGAAGCGCGGCGGCGCTCCCGCCCGAGGGTTCGGATCCCACGTACAGACCGGTTCCCGCTCACTGGCTGAGCAAGGCGCGGGAGCAGCACCGAGGGTTGCGATCCCGTTGCCGGTCCCCGGTCCGGTACGGGGGCAACACTGAGGGTTGCGATCTGTTGCCGGACACGGAAAAAGACAAAAACAAACAAACAAACAAACAAAAAAACAGTCACTGTATGTATGGAGCTGACAGCTTACAGCAAAGATAGACATTGAACAATTAATTTAAGTGTGATGGATTGTTAGAAGCACAGGGTAAGACAACAGGTGGACTTAACCTGGGCGGTGGGAGTAGAGGGGGGTGGTCCCAAGAAAAAGGCTAAGGAAATAATGTTTAAGTTGAGATTTAAAGGATGAAAGAGTATCTAACAAGGGTAGAGCAGGAACTGGAGAGAAGCATTCTATGCACAGGAAACAGCATTTGCAAGGGTCCCTGGGCCTGAAATATATAATAACAAGGAGATATATAATATATAATAACCAAAAGATAAGGCTACAAAAATGGGTAGAGATGGCAGATTATGTAGGACTTTATTTGCCACATTAAAGATTTTAGGCAGAGGAAGGAATAATTAGATGTACATTCTAAACAGGCTATTGTGGTTGCAGTGTGCAGAATGGACTATGACTGGAAGTGGTGAGAGAAGTAAGACAAAGTATTACAGAGCAAGAGAGACAAATGGTGCTTGAACTAGGGATGAAAAGGAGCAGTGATTTGAGATATACTTAAAAAGCGGAATTAAAGAACTCAGTTACAATATGTACAGGATAAGAATGAAGCCATGAAAGACTTCCAATATTTTGGCTTGAGCAACTGGGTTGATTAGGATGCCAATTTCTGAGAAGAAGGAAGAGACTGTCAGATAAGCAGTTCGATAATGTGTCTGAAACTCAGGAGAAAGAAGTTGGATTGAAATGTAAATTCAAAAAACACTAGCTGAACACTAACGCTAATATAATAACTGAGGCTGTGGGAGTGGATCATACTGTGTGGCAAGAGAGGAAGAGAACCTAGGGCAGAGCTTCAAGGAATTCCACCATTCTATGCTTGAATAAAGGAGAGGGAGCCAGTAAAAGAACTGAGAATGTTGACCCAGGAAATTGACATAGGAGTCACTGTAGACCTGAAGACTGCGGCCCAGTATACTGATGAGATCCCCAAAATGTCAGTATTATAAAGCAGAGTATAAATACCAAAACAAAATAAACTATGCTTTCTGTCCACATATAATCCTGGCTGGTGTAGCAATATGCCTTAAGAAAGGCATACTGTCTTAAGAAAAATAAAAGCATCTAAAGAAGGTCCTAAGGAGGCACTAAATGATCAAAGAGTTAAGTACTCTTGTATAGAAAAACTAAAAATTTTAGAACCTGATTCTGAGAACAAAGATTAAAATAGGATATGGTGGATGTCAACAAAACCATGAAGAGCATGACTAATGAAAAAAGAACATTCAACAAAATTTGGAATATCAGATAAAAGAGAGAGCCCTTTATGACTTCAGGCAAATAAAATATTTCAGTAAATTTTGAAGCAAAGAATATAATTCAGACATTAAAACTGTAAATGAATTCACTAAAATACGATACAAATTCATGACTGATAGAAAAAATTGGTCGCCCTAAGAAAAATTAGGATGTTTTGAGGTAATGCAAAGATGATGAGCATGTCCTTTCACATTTTTCTTGGTGTTTGTGTTAGAAAACAGTGGTCTAGATGAACCAAATTATCATAACCTTGTGTTAGAAAACAGTGGTCTAGATGAACCAAATTATCATCATAACCTTACAGACAGCGGAGAACTGCCTTAGGTGACATTCAACAGAATCCTTAACAGGACTCTTATTTAAAAAAGATGATAGAGAAATGACACTTAATTTTTAAAAGTATTTTTGTTTTAGTTGATTTAAATGGTCACCATTAGCATGAAATGCCTCATTCTAAAATAAATATTAGAGGCCCAACATCAATACTCTATACATCAGAGTTTCACAAAGTTTCCCGATCATAAGAATCACCTGGGCCACTTAATGACTATGATTCTTCAGCCCCTCCCCTGGAGATTATGCTTGCTACAGGGCCAGAGAATCTATATGATTTGACATGTGCCTCTGGTAATCGTTATGATCTAGAAATTCTGTGCAATACTAATGCAAATAAACCATGAGTTCCTCGAAAGCCAGGACCATGTCTTAATCAATGTAAAAGTCTAGTGCCTACCACAGTTTCTGGGATAGATTCAGGAATTAATAAACATACATCACTGATATAATCTAAAACTTCCAACTCTAATACGTGTAAACTTAAATGACCCTGAGAGCTGTAGACTCTTTGTATATATACAAACGACAATTGCAGCTGACTGGGTTTGAGAATTGCCCTTCATCTTGGGACTTCTTTCCTCCTTATCCCTTACTGCCAGATACCTGTGCTGTCTTATACTATCTCCCCTCAGTCCATAAACCTTGATCCTCCTTTTGCCCCAGTGCAAATTTGGAGGCTAGGAGTAAGAAGGAAATCCCCTGTGGCTATGTCCCCAGCAGTCACACCCCCAGAGGCCCCATCCTGCTCCTCACCTGAAAGCCCCTGACCTAGCTCCTGTGATGAAATGCCCCGGGTAGCCTTCCTACCTGAAGAAGGAAGAGGAACAAATACTGAGTCTAGGTTTTATTTTGAAATTCAGATGATTAATGTGTCAGTCCTAGTCTACAGTCCATTGGAACATAGGAACATATATAGACAACTTTTGCAGTATCTTAAAATTGGATTAATTTTCCTATATATTCATTATTTTTATCCCCTTCCCATTATTATTAGCATTAAAAAAAAACTTAAAATTTTCACAAATGCTGAGATTGTACTGAGAACTGAGATTCCACAGGAAGCTGAAGGTGGGGGTAGGGAGGGGGAGAGGAAAGAGAATCAGGTGGACCAACTGCTAGGGCCTGTGGGAAGAAAAGCACAGCTGGAGTGCAGGCCTGAAATCTCAAAGTACAGAGCCTCCCAAAGTGATGACTCTGAAGGAGACAGCATTCATTTTTGGCTGTTCAGTTTCTCTGTGTTTAAGAGTCTCATGATTTTATCACTTTTAAGATAAATGATGAATGACAATGATGAGGGTGGCAGAATACAAAGCAGGGGCTGGAATGTAATGTAACAAACAGCACAAAAAGCAAGGGCATGGCTACACTAACATGGGAACTCAGTGTATGGTTCTTGCTTGTGGCACACCTAGAGATCCAGTTCACCTGAGATGGCTCAGCATGATGCAATTTATAAATACCACATGTGCAAAATGAACCTAGAAATCAAAGAAAAACCGTTACATGAAAAATGGGGTGCATAAATGCAGGTTATGTCAGGTTTAGAGTGTATGATAACACGTACCTAAAGGAGTAATTGTTCCAAATCTAATGAAATGTTTCTAACTTAAATTAGGGTGTAATGTTTTTCTATATTAGCCAGTTTCAAAGATACTGTGTTGCTTATGATGAAAATCCAGTGAACTACTAATAACCATGAAGATAAATGAAAATCTTAATAATAAATTCCTCCTGGTGCATATCAAAAGTGACTGACAGAGTTCAAGAACAATGAAGTAGCTTCGCATTTCAATATAATTCAAATTATCCTCTCTATCAACTGTCACACAGGGTCTATTTTAGGAATAGAGACAAGGAGTAACCCTTGGAGTAATTTTTCAATCTTTGGCTAACATTCTGAACATCCAAGTTAGTTTATAACTGGGTAGCAGTTTCTGTGATTCAGCAACCTTTCTCCCCTGAAATCATAGTACAATTTTTTTGCTATAAGGAGAAAGCAGCTGGTAATAGAAGTCAGTGGCCTTGTACCCCAATTCATCAATGATTAAAAATCTTCATTTACTATACTGAATTTCATCATGATTCAAAAGCCCACTAGTATTTGTTTATGGCATTAAGAAACATTTTTGTCTTACCAAGTTCATTCATTGCATGTCTATGCTCTTCGTCAAATGAAAGTTTCATCAGAACACACACAGCAGGACAGATCTGATGTTCAACAGGAGCTGGCACTGAAAAATAAAATTGACATAAACCATAATCCTTTGTCATTTCAAAAGCAATGATGTTTACTATACTTTAAAAATACGTGGTGATCACTAATATATTCTTTATGCATAGAAGTTTAGTGGATCAACAAATATTTGCTAAATGATGAATAAATACTATAAATGTGGGACAGGAAATATGAGTAAAGGGCTTTTCTTGATTCCATAAAAATTTTTACTACTCATCTGCCTTTGACCAAGTCTGTTAGAACAAGTCATTTGTAGGCTCATATGATAAGTCAGATAACTAATAATCCAAAATTATGTTGATTACATGAAAGAATAAAAACATTTTGGTATAAAACTTTAATTTTGTTTATAATTTCTATTTAAACTATTGTCATGAGCGCAGGTTAAAAGCACATGGCTGTGTACAAATGTGATACCTAGTAGAGAAAGTTTACTATATAAAACAGATGTTCAAGAAAATGTACCTTCACATTTAATACTGTCTATAAGGCTTTAAAACTCATTATTTGGGGCCGGCCCCATGGCACACTTGGGAAAGTGCAGCGCTGGGAGCGCAACGTCGCTCCCGCCGCGGGTTCGGATCCTATATAGGAACGGCCGGTGCGCTCACTAGCTGAGTGCGGTGCGGGCGACACCAAGCCAAGGGTTGTGATCCGCTTACTGGTCACGAAAAAGACAAAAAAAAAACCCCTCATTATTTGACATAAATAATTAAAAAAAATTATTTTTCAGAAGTAATATTAATTTACTCTAAGTTTTTGAGAACATGTATCCAAAGTACAAAATGTAGGTCATTATATAATTGTGACAATCCAGATAGGTAATGTTCTCCCAATAAAGTATCTTTTATTAGTTCTCTTCATCCCTAGAACATACAGATATAATGTACCATCTCTGCTTTTTTATTCTTGAAAAATATTTAGATTTTAAGTAAAAATCTGCTATAGCTTCATAAGTCACATTCTTGCCATCACTTCTCCTGCTCCCCAAATGAACAGTTTGATAAAATAGAACTGTCTACTTATCGTGTGTGTGTGTGTGTGTGTCTGAGAGAGAGAGAAAGAGAACAGAACCTTCTTAAGTGAAAGGAAGACCTTACCTGATATACTTACTGCTTTGGGTTCTTGGCTACAGAAACGAAGTAAACTATGTCCCCAAGGGTCCCAACTCCCATGTTCCCTATCTTGAGGGAGAGGGGCTGGTGGCCAAGGGTCTCTCCCTGAGCAAAGAGCTAGGTGGCTTATCACCCCCAGCAACTGGGGCCCATTGCCTGGAGCAGGATGGTGAAATAGGAAGAGCACTGAGCTGAGAGACAGGACAACTGGTCTCTTTACTCTACCACTTACTAGCTGTGAGGCCACTCAGTTTCTTCATCTGTAAAATGAAAATGATAATACCTTCCCTTCCTATTTCACAAGGTTGTTGTGAGGATCAGATGACATAACAGATATAACACAGCTCTGTGTCCACTGAATAAACTGAAATGCAAATGTAAAAGATTATGGCTTGGTCACTAATAGCTGAAATAACTTAGTAAAGTCACCTTCCTGAGCTTATCCATGAAATGAAAGAGATGGGCAACATAACTGCTCAGGTTCTTTCTAGTTCTTCTATGCTATGACTTTATAAATCTCTCTTGATTTGCTGTTCTTTTGTGGTTGCATTTTACTGCATATAACATTTGCCTTTGCTAAATTTTTCTAGGGAAATACAGACTTAAGTTTTAAAATACGTTAGTAGCACAAATGGCTAATAGAATTTCCCCCTCCTAGTCATAAAGACAACAAATTTAAAAAGTTTCTATTCTGAAACTTTTACATTTGCTTTAAAACATGCACTATGCTGTACAAGATACAGAACATACTTGGATTTTTGTCCTGGTCCATGCCTTGTTCATGGGCTTCCTGCCACTCCCAACAGGTTTCACAGTAAGCTCGTATCTGTTCCAAAAGATGAAGGACTCGGATTTCACGCCTGCCTCTCTTGTCATCAGGCTGTGAGTGAATGATGTTGTGGAGTGCTGCACTGGCCCTGGCCCGAGCCTCTTTACTGCCCCGGGAATTTCCCAACAATACAGAGTCTTTGTCATTGCCATGTAAAAGCTGGATGAGGAGAGGAAGACATCCAGACTGTCGCATGGATATACAGCTGTCTTGGGAGCTAGACATAGCTAGCAAAGTTCGTGACATATCATCCTTATCATGAGTACCAAGCATTGACAACAATGAATACACCATTTCCACCTGTGGGCCAAATGAGTTTAGAAACAAAATTATGACTTTAATATCCAAAAGCCAAAATCAATGAAGTGATGAATGGGATATTTATTATAACTCTTTAAAAAAAACCTTTCCAGGATGAAGTAATGAGTGTTATTTCAAAAATCCATAATTTGTTTATGTGAATAAATAATAGGAGTGGTAGTATACAGTGCTGAAAGAAAAAGTAGGTTCTTGTTATATTTAAATTGCTGTTTGTACGGATCAGTTGGTAGTAATCCATTGATTATAACGAGTGAAAACCAACTGACTTCTCTCTCACACACACAAAATGAGGAATGTGGTTTACCTAAATTATTTACACAAGTTTTATTTTATTTCTTTTAATCCACAACTACAATCAATAAATAGAAACATTTTTTCAACTATTATAATTTACTAAGTATTAATTCTCAGCAATCATTAATTCTCATCAGATTATAACATTCTTGAAATTATACGGTTTCTCCCTTACACATGTAAAAATAAGTCTGTCATGAAAAGGAAAATGTCATGATCATATAAGGAGTAATAAAGCCAGAATCTGTAGTCAATACTTTTTAAAAATAACTGGTAAGCATTAATTACTCTCTGACAAAAAATTCTAAGGGTTTACTCAGAAGCAGATTAGAAAAAGGAAAACAACACCCAGTTATCCTGAACCATAATCAGTCTCATTTCAAAGTTAGAGGCTATTATATAAAAGTAGAGAATATTACATAAAGAATGCATCATCTTTATAAATCAGTGGTTCTCAGTGGGGGTAGGGGGTTGATTTTGCCCCCATCAGGACACATTTGGCAACATCTTGGAGACATTTTTGGTTGTCACAATTGTGGGATGGGAATGTTAGGAGCATCTAGTGGGTAGAGACCAAGAATGCTGCTAAACATCCTACAAAGCAAAAAAGAATTATCCAGCCAATAGTGACAAGGTTGATAAATGCTATTCTAAATGTGTAAACTCAAACATACTTTTAGATATAAAAGTTTCAGAAAGGCAGTAAGGACTGTGGATAAATGGGCTTTCATCAGACTTAAGTTCAAATTTTGGCTCTACCACTTACAAGCAAGCTGTGTGATGCTAGTTAGGTTATTTGATTTTTCTGAGCCTCAGTTTTTTGAGTTGCAAAATGGAGGAACTGACTTAACTAACAGGGTTTTCTTTGTGAAGATTAAATGAAATAATACATGTATAGAACAGTAGCTACCGTTCAGAATATGTGGTAAGGTCTTATCATGCAAAAATTGCTTCAAAAGGAATTCTAACTGCTGGTTTTCACACAACAGTACTGTTGAATATTAGAGATTTTCTTTATATAGAAACTACATGTTGCTGTTAGAAAGACCTGGACTTGAATTTTAGTTTAATTACATAAGAGATACATGAACCCTTTTTTTTTTTTTTGCTTCAGTTTTCTCATTTTGAGGGATAAGTGTATTTGAATACTTATCTTTTTGAGAGGATTAGAGATAATGTACATATATACAACTCCTAGCACAGTTACTGTCATACAAGGGGCCCTAAATAGTTAACTATTGTGAACTATAAAAAGGATTAAGTCTCACACTGACAATATCATTTATTACTCTAAAGTTCTTTCCTTACATTAGTTATTTCAGTAATGCATTTCCTAAGAGACATCAGATTATTTAGAGTAAAGAAAGAGTATATATATTTTACTGTGAAAACAATTACTGAAATTATTTAGACTTAACTGAAAATATACTTTTTGTAGTATTAGAATTTCATCTTAATTAATATAATATTAAGGCCTCTAGCTTTAAAACAGTAATAAAATACTTTCCTTGCAAACATTATAACCAATCCTAAAATATTTGCTAACATCTGAGATACCTTATTAAAGCTCAGTTATCAGCACTGGATAATATTTATCTTCAATAATTTTTCCATCTATTTCAATAAGTGTTTATTAAATACTCATTATGTGCAGGCACTGTGCCTGATGCTGCAAAAGATAAATAAAAAAAAAAAAAGTCCCTGTTTTCCAAAAAAGTGTTTCATGCAAATTGTTAGTGATTCAAAGGAGGAAGCTGGATAGCAAAAGGAGGTAAGAGGACCTTGGGAATCAGAAAACGTTTTCAAAAGAAGCAAAGCCAAGAAGAGTTTTGAAGGCTGGCTAGGACTCTGACAGCCATTTGTGGTGGGGTAAAAAGTGGTGTGTACCACTGCAGGCAAGGCATGGAGGCAGAAAATCACAGGGAGTGCTCAGGAAGAGCAAGTAAGACAGTTTGGATAGAGTTAAGGATACTGGCAGAGAAGTGGATGATAAGGCTGAAAAAGAATTAAAAACTAGCTAATTTAGCACTTTTTATAATCCTCATTTTCTCTTTGTTTAAGCTTCTTTGTATAAAAAGATGTCACTTCTTAAGAGTCTGTTCATCTGAATTCTCCTCTAGAAAATGCATATGAAGAATATCTTAGCAAAGTATTCATGGTATTAGTAGTCAGGGTTTGTAATCTTCTGTTACCTTGGTGCCCAGATGACTTGTCAGCCTTCGAGGAGCAGAGTGTGTGCTACTAGAACTCAAAACACTGGCCGTTTCATGGTCCATTCGTGTACATGAACCCTAAAAATTAAGCAAATTATAGATAGTATAATTTTTAGATAAATATAGATAACTTCATATTAAGGTACACCAATTGAACTCTTTAGGGTAAACAACTAAATATATCATTAAAAGTATGATCTTTACTGCTTGCTCAAACTGAATATTTTTACCCATAAACTTACTAAGAATATTTTACAGACAAACTAAAAAGGAGATTTCTTGCAAGAGAGTTAAACTGCAATGTGAAAATAACCAAACACTGAAGAAATTCTATAGTAATATATTTTCACAGATTGAAAGGAATAAAACCACAGTTAAATATAAGCTGGCTGGGCCGGCCTGGTGGCGCACTGCTACAGTGCGCCGCTTGGGAGCGCGGTGGCGCCTCCCGCCGAGGGTTCGGATCCCACATACAGACCGGTTCCCGCTCACTGGCTGAGCGAGGTGCAGGCGCAACACTGAGGGTTGCGATCCCGTTGCCGGTCCCGGTCCGGTACGGGCGCAACACTGAGGGTTGCGATCCGTTGCCAGACATGAAAAAAAAAAAAAACAAAAAAGGAAAAAAAAAAATATATATATAAGCTGGCTGATGGAAAGCAATGAAGAAATGTTAAAATTCTGAAATGCTCCAAATAGTCAGAAAATTAAATATGAATTCAGTATAGTCCAAGTTCTCCAAGACCTCACAGTTAAAAGAGGGCTGTTTGAAATTTCTATTGGAGAAAGACATGAAAAAAATAAATAATTACAGTGTGATATAAGCACCACAGCAGAAGAATGTATAAAATACTGAGGGAAAACAGGAAGAAGCAACTACCTGTGTAGGAACTACTAAAGACAGCATAAAATAAGTAACATTTAAGGTAGGCCTTGAATTTTGGGGGTAGGAGACTGATGGAACAGTCTGTGCAAAAGTATAAATATGGAGAGCATGGAGTGTTCCAGTTTAATGTAGATAGAACACAAGGTGTATGGTGGGAGATAAAGGTTGGGTTAAATCATTAAGTATTTCATGTGTCATTTTAAAGATGCTTCTCTCAAGCTATGGATGCTGTGGAGTCACTGAACTTTAGGCAGGAGAATGGCACAACCAGAATTGTCTTAAAAGTATGGATGGCAGGATGGAGAGATCACAGGTGGGAAATTAGGGAGAGGGTATTTTCAATAGTTGAGCCACTCTGAGGGCACAAACTAAGGCAGTGAGAATAGGGAAGTAGAGATGTCCTTGGAGGGTATTTAGTGGACAAAATCAACTGGCATGGTAACTGATTGGATGTGAGTAAAGAGAGGTTAGGAGTCAATGACAATTTAGAGGTGCTGAGCTCGAATAAATGAGTAAATAATGGTGCCACTGATGGATTCAGGAAGCCCAGAAAGATATGACTGTCACTTCTCACTGTGTGACAGAATTGCAAAGATTACTCAGAGCCCAAATATTAAGAGCAATGAGAAGCCCAAAGGGACTGCACCAAGAAAACTCCTGCAAGAAGGGAAAAACAAGGTGCAGCACTGAGTCGGTATTTGCTTCAGCTTTTATTGTAAAGACAAGGAAATATAAGAGAAAAAACAACTTACTCATTTATCAAAGGAATGAAAAGAAATTGGATATGGGGCAATCTCTGGAAAACATCTTGAGAAAAAAAGGAACGGGAGTGAAGCTAGATAAGAAATAACCTTAATTATCTAATCTAGCAGAAACTATTTGCTGTTTTCAGCACTTAGGTTCTGCATAAGTGTATTTAGGACTTCTGCCCTTTGTGCACTCCCTGTTCTTTGTCAAGACTATGTGCTCTCACAGATGATGGCTTTCAGTGTGGGTACTGAGCTCACCTTTGAACATACTGATATTCAGTAAGAATATTCAGTGGGCATCTGAAAACATAGGATGCAACCCTGCACGGGAGTGGAGAGTGCAGATAAATATCTGGGACCTATCAAAATATATGCCATAGCTAAAGCCATTCATTAATAATTAAGAATAATGATGACAAGAATAGCATTCAATCAGAAAGCAATATTCACAGGCACTCTCTTGTAGTTCTCAATCTTTCAAGATGAAAAGCTAGAATATAACTTCTTTGAGGACAGAAACTTTATTCTGTTCCCTGCTGTATTCTCCGAGGGGAGTATTAGGCCTAATAGGTATCCACAAAATAATTGTTGAATTATGAATAAGGACAGAGGACACCATTTCCGGTTCTAATTATCTTTCAGATATATATGCTCTGGCTTATTGGAGAAAGGGATGTGGTAAAGAGAAAAACACCATGGGAGAAATAGTTTTGAAGACTGTGACTTGGTATCTCCTACTCTGGAGGGTTCAAGGGGTAGAATGAGTCAATATCTCTGAATGTACCACATATTCCTTAATTTTGGAATCAAAAGACTTATCATTTCCTTTTGTGCATAAAGTTCACTTTTGGTGACATTATTAGAAACTTCCCTGTTAGCTAACAACCATAACTGTTTGCTAGCTAACCTCCACTTAGGTGGACAACAAAGAAAAATATTAACAATGCATTCCTCAGTGATTAGTCCAAATTCTAATAGGTAATTATTAAATGCTCACACAGAAATTTCTGAATTTGTTATAAAAAGTCCTTAAATAGGTAGTACTCATTTATGAGAGGCCTACTTGGACCTTCCATAGAAGTAACATGATATGCCAACGTTAGGTTTTCCTGACTAGTCCACAAGAGCATATTTTAGATCATTTACAAGTGTTTTTAAGAGAAAATTAAATTTGTCAAACTCATTCAACTGTCCACTTAAAATGGGTGCATTTTACTGCATGCTAATCTTTCCTCAGTAGTGTTGATTTTAAAAAATCCTAACATGAGAGATTTTAAAAATATCTCCCTTTATAAAAGCATTAAAAAAATCCACTTATTGGGCCGGCCTGGTGGCGCACTGCTACAGTGTGCCGCTTGGGAGCGTGGCAGCACTCCCGCCGAGGGTTCAGATCCCACATACAGACCGGTTCCCGCTCACTGGCTGAGCGAGGTGCGGGCACAGCACCGAGGTTTGCGATCCCGTTGCCGGTCCCGGTCCGGTACGGGCACGACACTGAGGGTTGCGATCCGTTGCCGGACACGAAAAAAAAAAAAAGACAAAAAAAAAAAGGGGAAAAAAAAAATCCACTTATTCACACCCATATAGGGAAATCCAGGGTTGGGTTAAGCATACTAGTAAAGGGTCCAGAGTGGCTCCTCTTTCTTGTCTCTATTCCCTTTGTGGGTCTGGATTCCTCATGCTGATTAGTCCCTCAGGAATACCTCTCAATTTGAATAGCTAGTTAGCACCCCTCAGGGAAGGAAGAAGAGGCAGCAAGGAAAGACTCATCTTGCATCTCTTTCCACTGTCACCAGCTACTGAGCGCTTCTAGAATGGTCATTTCTTCCAGCATGGTCGTTCAACCCACATGCAACCAAACAACAAACATTGCCTGAACTCCTGCTACTTTCTAGGTAGTATGCTAGTCACTAGGGAATAACTGAATAAGACATTCCCACCCTCTATACACATAGAATCTAGATGGGGAGCCCAACATGTAAATACACAGTACTTAAGTGCTTTGACAGAGGCTGTGTGAACACCCAGGAAAGTACATAACTCAGTCTTTGGAGTACAGGAAAGCCTTCCTGGAAAAAGTGGCATCTGATTTTAGACTTGAATTATGAGGAGGCATTTAACCAACAAAAAGAATGAGAGATTAGCCACAGGGTAGCCTAGACTCTCTTAATAAGGAGGACATATTTGAGAGATCAAGACTCAGGGTAAAGAGAATAGTCAGGAGCTTTTTTTTTTTTTTTGAGTGTAAAGGGTGTGTATGTCTGTAACATGAGGCAAAATTATCTAAAAGTCAATAAATTTTTATTCAACAAATTTCACATGTTGTGATTCCTTCCACTGTCCATCAAGGTCACCTTAGTTCCTCTAAAGCTTGAGTCAATACTTATCTTTAAGATAGACCTTTTTAAAAGAACTGGAGCTTAATCCAGAGGTGTCCTGTCATCCCTACATAACAATAATATAAAAGTAAGTTTCCAGAGATGGTCATACAGCAATCAAAAATGGGTTCTGAAGTCAGCCTACCTCACAGGGTTTTTTTTAGAAAATCTAGGTAAGGGGCCTTTCATGGTCTATTGTAGAAGGGGAATTACTCCTTATCCTGAAGCAAACATACTATCTTTGAGGATATTTAAATATTTTTATTGTTTGTAGGTGGCCTCTAAGATAGCTCCTAGTGATCCCTGCTGCCTGGTATTCACACTCTTATGTAATCCTCTCCCCTTGAGTCTGGGCTAGAATTAGTGACATGCTTCTCATGAACAGAACGCTATAGAGGTGGTAGGGAAGCACTTCTAAGATGTTACAAAGATTGTGGCTTCCATTTTGAGCACCCTCTCTTGCTCTGAGGGAAGCCAGCTACTACATTGTGAATTGTCCAGTGGAGAAGCCCATGTGGGAAGAACTGATGTCTCTGGCCAACAGCCAATGAGAACCTGAGGCCTGCCAATAACCATATGAGTGAGCTTAGAAGCAGATCCTCCCCTAGATAAGCCCTGAGATGAGTGCAACCCCAGCCAATACTTTGACAGCAGCCTCACGAGAGATCCCGTACCAGAGACACTCAGTTCAGCTGCACCAGAATTTCTCATCCATAGAAATAATAATAAATGCCGAATGAAGATAAGTTTCGGGGTAATCTGTTATGCAGCAATAGGTAATTAATGCATTATTTGAAACAAAAGAAAAACAGGGGGTTAAATTATGAAACAAAGGAAAACCTATTTCTACAATAAAACATGTTCCTGACATTCATTTCAGTGTAGACACCAAATCCTTAAGTTTCATTCTTAGTATCTTCCCATATAGCTCTTTGATTATGGGACACTCCCTACTCCCCTGATCTATCTAGCTAGAAACCTGGATGCATTTACTATCATGTGATACCAAGAGGACTTTTCCATACCCACACTCCCTGTGAGCTTAGAACTTAAGCCTTAAGAATCTTTCTTGGGCCTTTTATTAAGAAGGCTAGACCTGAGCTAACTTCTTCCAGAGGCACTAGAATCTCTACCCACAAGAAATGGTAACTTCCTAAGAACTATTTCCCACCCAACTCATGACTGAATTCTGAAGAAATATGAATATGATTAACTTTCTCACAACCTCAAGATCTGCTAAATCAGTCATGCTGTACATCCCTTAAATCAGCCTTGCTCACTAAAATGTAAGTACTTGCTGTATCATTCCCAACTCTCAGCTTTAAACTGTGTGAGACCCTATTTCCCACTGTTCTTCCTATCCAACCTTCCTTGTGGAATCCACATTCCATACTTCATTAATACCCATAAATCCTCAACTTTTCAGTTAATACTCCTTTTACTTCCTGGACTTCAACTTTCCCTAAGACATTGCTTCTTTAAAATAGCTGGAATATATAGTGCATGGATCTTTCCACATACTCCAGCTTGGAAGGGATGAATCACAGCTAGCTCCTGCTAATTTTCAGTAACTTTGCCCCACAGTTATTCCATCCTACCTGCTTGGCAATACTGCAACCACAGATGAATCCAGTGGTCTGTTTCTCTACCCCTTTAAATGAGCAAATATAGATGTGTAGAGGGAGGAAGCCCAGTAAAAATAAGGTACTGAATGAAATAAGGCCAGTGTGGCTGAAGTGGTGGGAGCAAGATGTAACATAAAGCTGACAAGATAGGTAAAAGCCAGATTATATAGGTCACAATAAAAAGTCATCCTTATTCTAAGAATCAAGGGAAGCCAATAAAGGATTTTATAAGGAGGGTGATTTACTCTTCATAAGTCAGAGTGGATATGGGCAGGAAACCAGGTAAGAGAGGGGACAGAATGAAATTCCACATGGTGAAAGAGATAAGTGCACCAGGATAGAAGCTTTGGTGCAGCATGCTACTTTTTTTTTTTTTTATTGTAACATAGTTGATTGTACATATTTGCACAGGGGTACAGAGTTGAATATCCTTACCTGTGTGCGATATACGATGCTCAAATCAGAATACTTAGTATATTCAACATTATACAATGTAATCGTTTTTTGTGGCCCTTTACCAACTCCTCCCTTACTCCCTCTCACCCTCCCCCGCTTCCCCACCTCTGGTAACCTCAGTTCTGTTCTGTGGAGCATGCTAGTGTGATCCTGAAAAAGTCAAAGAGACTGATTTTCATTCTCAATTAGTGTCAATGGTTCTTGTCTCTGGAGCAAATAATAAGACTAAACAAACTAATAAACCCAGGAGGTTGTCATGTATAGAGACACTACTAAGATAGGTTAAAGGAATCTTGCTGGCATAACAAATCACAGTCTCATACATATAGATCACTCATCTACATTAGGATTTGGGAGTGACTGTAGTGTTGTTTTTAAAACAGTGATTGAAAGTAACCAAATAAACAGTATTAGCAGTTTTAGTGCCATACAAACACTGATTTGGTGGGCAACTCTGTGACTGATAGTGCCAAACAAACATGCTTATTATGTTTACTACTGAATCCATAGCACTATCATCATTTCATTCACCGTTTGAAGGATGAATTAATATTGGACCCCCATTTACTATTTTCAATAGATCTCCTCTGTCATCCTTAGACTTAAATGAATAACATGATATATCATGATAGGACTCTGGAGAGAGATAACCTACACTATCAAGCAATAAAAATTAAGGCCATACTTCTAATTTCCCAAAATGAAAATAGTTTTATAGTTGTTATAAATTATAAAAATAACACATGCTTATTATAAAAAAAATTAAAGCAATACATAAAGTATAAACAAGAGAGTAAAAGCCACAAAATTCTCAACACTTAGAGATAACTACTGGTATCATTTAAAGAACATTCTCCCAGACATTTCTCTATGCATATACATATATAGATGTGTATAATGAGAGATCATACATACATGCTTTTTTCAAAACTAAAAAAGTTATAATTATTTTTCTAAGTTAATAATATTTATTAATATTCAACAAGTATTTGTTAAACACTTGCTCTGCCAGGTACCATACTAGTTGGGTATAATGGTGAGCAAGAGCAATATAGTTTAAACCAACAATAAATTGTGCTAAGTGCCATGAGAGCACAAGTATAGAGTATCTGAGAGCACGCTGTTCCAGGAAGGCAGGGACAAGAAAAAAAGTTCAGGAAGAAGTGATATTTATTTATTTATTTTTAAAGAAGCAATATTTAAACTGAGGGGAAGGATGAGGAAAACAAATACAAGTGAACTGAAGCAGAAGAGATTTCTACACAAAGAGAACATCATGTGGAAGGCCTGGATATACTCAAGGAACTGACGAAGCTGAAGTTGAGGAGTAGTGAGAAATGGGGCAAATAGTGAGAGAGACTGCCAGAAGAGCAAGCAATATAAAGAATCTGGATTGTATTCTATGGGTAGTGGGTAGCCACTGAAAGGTTTAAACAAGGAAGTGGTATCAGAGTCATCTGATTACAAGGTGAAGGATATATAACAAAAGCACGGCTGAAGGCTGAAACAAAAGTTAGATATCTACATAAACAGAGACATAACTTATCATTTTAAACATTTGCATGGATGTACCATGTAGGTTCCATGAGGCCAGGGACTGTCTGTCCTCTTCAATTCTCAATCTCCAGAGTCCAACACAGTATCTGGCACATAATAAATATTTGTTAATTTTTAAGTAATTATTAATAGTAGTTAACAATGATAATAGCTGTTACCTCTTATTGTGCACTTACTATATGCCAGGGACTGTGTTAAGTGCATACTTCATTTAATTCTCACAACTATTCTATGAGGTAGGTGTTATTATCATCTAGTTTTACTACTGAGGAAACACTAAAGCTCAGAGAGTTAGTTACAAGGTCTAAGCTAGTTAGTGGGGGGAGTGGGAATTCCCATGTTTGCTGACTCCAGAGCCACTTAAATAACCACTTATCCACAGCTGACTGATAATTTAACAGATTGCTTATTGATAATGTGCTTTTTGGTTATTTCTAATTTTTTTGCTATTAAAAATAATATTATGATGAATCTCTTCAAACATGTCTGACCATTCTGCATTGATTACCTCATAAGCATAAAATTTATTTATTTTTAAAGAAGTGATATTCAGATGTTGCAATGATGGAACCAGACAGCAGGTACATTACAAACTTAGATACATTTTACAAAACTGCTCTCCAGAAAGACTTTTCCATTTCATACAACTAAAAGCAAAACATGAGAATACGTGGTTACTTACCATTACCAGTACTGAGTGTTGATGATCTCTGTTAACTCAATTCCTCCACCAAAATCTCATTTTGGTTGTAATTTATATTTATATACAATTATTAATAAATTTGATCATCTTTCCTTATGTTTACAAGTCATTTTAATTCTTCCTTTTATTTCCTGTTCATGTCCTTTGCCCATTTCAAAATAGTCTTTAAATAACTGATACGTTTTGAATTTTAACTTTTTGCTTGCCATCAATATTTGTATATAATGTGATCTTGCCTTCTGTTTGTCTTGTAATCTTGTTATGATTTTCTGGCATACTAAAGTTTTACATTTTTGTGTGAAACTTAATGATGCTTTCTTTATGATTTTCCCATCCAACTCATGATTATAAAAATTCTACCCATATTTTCTTCTACTTTTCAAATATTTTAAATAGTTTTCATTTTTTACATTAAATCTAATATACTCAGAATTTATTTTGATGTATTATGTGTGATATGGATTCAATTATCATAGCCAGTTTATTGAATAGGTAGTTTTCAAATTATGTAATTATTGGAACATGACTTAAAGCACTAAGAGTAGGTCTAATCCTAAGCAAATAACTTTTTTTCTGTCAAATTAGACTGAACATTTCTTCCTTCTACATTTGTGCTGGAACATGTAAACTTTCCAAATAATTCCCTAAATAACAGAGAAATAACTCAAATGTGCTATTTAAATATAATTGTTTTTGTTCTAATTTACCATTTAAGAGTTTTCCAGTGTAATGCTACCTAGTGATACTGACAAAGTATCTCTGTTTTAACTCAGTAAAATAAATTTAAATACTTAAGTATGAGACATTTTAAGCTTTAAATTTTAATAACCCAGTAGAAGTATACTCTTTTTTATAAACAGTACTATCAAAATCAACCTATTATCAATAGTAGGAAAATTATCTTAAGGCCAACTTAGTGAAATTCTACTTTTAAAAAATCATTTACAACATAAAAATATTCACTGAAGAAAATTTGGAGAATACTGAACACCCCAAAGAAAAATTTTGTCATACCAGGCTGCATTTCAAAAAAATCTAATAGAAAACTGATGACAGCATAAAAAGATAATGGTTCTACATTTTAAAAAAATCAAATTGACTTCCAAAATAATGTGGCAGTATTTAAACATGATTAGGCTATGTCTCTTTACTTTTTATAAGCATCATCTCAGAATCATCTTTTTCAAATAAGATTTGGATTTCCAGATTTATGTAATCTTGAAGTACAACAAAATAAAAACTATAACAAAGTCCTTATGATAATTTTAAAAACCATAAAAATGTCTGCACAGAATGCCTTAGAGAAAGAACAGACCAGACCTATTCATTGCAAGCAAATAATAACTAGGTCAAATCACAAATATAACCAAAATGCAGCTTAAATTTTTTTTTTTAAAAAAAACCTCATGCTAATCATTTTAGTCTAATATAGAAACAATCTAGAGCTCTAAAAAGATATTTAGAAATTTTAAAGACAGCATTATTTTTAGATGTGATAAAGAAAAATGACAGCATTTGGTACTGAATGCTTCTAAATATCTGTTCAGGACTAAAGGAAATAGATAAGATTTACAGACCATTCTGAGAACCAACACAATCCATATTCTTTTCTGAATATTTATATATAGTTCAATAAAAAAAATATGATAAAATAAGTTATTTACCTGACCACTACCAGAAGTTGCCATGTTGATTTCTGCCACTCCTTGACCTTCATTCTGCCGCTCCGCTTCATGTGAGCCGGCTTCATGCTTGCTCTGAGATGACCTCTGCTAATATGGAGTTAATATTATTACACACAAAAATGATGTATGCTTTCTTAGCCCACAGCTTTTTGTCTGTTTTGTTTTAAAGCTTTGAATGCATCAGTTACACAGGCTGACAAAAACACAGAAGTGCACATTACACTCCATAACCTTCAGCACAGTTAGCAATTGACTATATTTAAGAGGAAAGTGAAGTGCATCCCTTAAGCATTAGGGCTGCACAAGACAAAGGATTTTCTGAGACGCACAGAAAAACCATCCTCCACCAGCTGTGCTCACATCACTATCAGGAATATAACCCAACTAGAACAAATAACTGCCTTTTCTGCAAGGTCACATGATTCTGGCATTTAATGGAGCTGCAAATACAACAGTTAAACTATCATCTAAGCTTACAAATAGCTGTGTAGGTGTATTTATACAAAGAATATATATACATCTTCTGCTAATACAAGTCATGCAAAACCAAATGATAAGCTCTTAGATTTTGATATGAATAAAACCTAAAACCTTTTCTAATGCAACCACCATCTGTTTTACAAAATAAAAATGACAGATTAATCCATTAAAAGCAGTCATTTCAAGATAGATTATATACAGTTCAAAGCAGTCCTTTGTAAAAATACCACAGTAGAATCAGAGAAATAAAATAACTTCTCACTATCTTTTATAGGAACAGCTATATGCTTGCTCTAGGAAAATGATATACTAAAATAAAAATTATATTCTAAAATGGCTCCCACTGGAATTTCTTTAAATATCAAGCTTTCCTAAACCGTTTTAAAATGTGACTTAAAAAATTAATTTACATGTGACATTTCCATCAATAAACTAATATTAGTTATATGTAGGCAAAAGTGAGGTAGCACCCAATAATTCAGAAATAGAAGAAAAAATAGTACCACCTGACAATTACACTATAAAATTCAACAAAATCAACAAGAGTAGAAATCTACAGTCAAAATTCAACAAAATCAACAAGAGTAGAAATCTACAGTCAACCTAGAGACAAAATGAATCAAAGACCACTAAAGACGACGAAGATTTGAAACATAAGATGTCAATATATTTAAAGAAAAAAAAAACTACTGCACATCTGCTACGTTAGCTACTTATACTAAGTGCTGGGGAATACAGTGTTAGCAAAACCAAACAATGTTCTATGCAGTCTCGGAGCTTACAGTCTAGTCAGGGACACTATCAAATAATGAAAGAAATAACAATAAAGTTAAAACTTTGACAAGTGCTATGAAAGAAGGATACAAGGTACGATGAGAATTTATAAGAGAGATGTGATATGGTCTGGGGTTTAGAGAAGAGCTCTCCTAGAAAGTCCTGTTTCAATGCAGACTTGAAGAATAAATAGGAGTTAACTAGGAAAACCAGGAGGCTAATTAGAGAATGAGCGGTCTAGGTAAACAGAAGCTCACATGCAAAGGACCTGGGGTGGCAGGGAGTGTGGCTTGTTCTAGTATGTCAACAAATCATGGTATGGCTGAAACACCAAAAATAAGGGGGTAAGTAGAACAAAAAGAAGATGGTAAAAAAAATCTTACTTGATTTTATTGAATTTTAGTGTGATTTTTAGATGGCACTCTTGCCATTTCTAAGTTATAGTGAGGCCACATTACTATTCCCCCACATAATACTAATTATTAATGGGAAAAGATGTATGTAAATTAATTTTTTAAGTCAAATTTTAAATGCTTTAAGCATGCAGAAAACATAGAGACCAGTTAAGAGGCTAATGTATTAACATAAATGTGAGATGATAGTACTTTGCACAAGTGAAGCAGTGATTGAGAAAAAGAAGTGAAGACACATAGGTAAATGTGACAGGGTTTGGCGATAGACTGGATATGATGAGTGGAGGAAGAAGTCTGGTGTCAAGTATTACTCCCATGTTCCTTGGCTCACACAACTCAGTAATGATGATGCTATTCACAGAGATAGGTAATACTGAAAGAGGATGAGAATTTTTTTAGAGGGAGGTAGGGTGGTAAGGAGGGCTTAGAAGGAGTAGATCATTAACTATGTTTTGGGTATGTTGGATTTAAAGTGCTTTTGACACATCTAAGTGGGGATGTAGAGTGGGCACACAGATTTAGGAGTCTGGAGCTCAGGGTTATAACAATAAATTTGACAGCCAATAGCATATAAATAGTAACTGAAGCCCTAAGCATAAATGAGATGGTCTTACAGAGAGAGAATACAGAAAAAAGAGAAATAAGCTTTATGGATTATCTACAATTAATGCCCAGATAAGGGAAGATGAGCCTATAAAGGCCACAGATGTGGAAAGAAACCAAGAATGATGACGGTGATGGTGATGAGTATAAAAAAGTTTAAAAAAAAATTAATGTTTACTATGTACTAATCACTGGGCACCTACTGATCTATTTAATCCTCATACTAACCCTACGAAGTAAGTACTATTATTGTCCCCATTTTACATATAAAGAAACTGAGGCACAGAGAACATAAAAGCAGCCAGCTTTCACAGAGCTAGAGTGGGAATTACAACCCAGGAAATCTGACTCCAGAGCACAAACTACTATTTAACACTATCTTAATTTTCTTTCCTCCTTCCTCTTTCCTTAATTACTTCCCTTTATTCTTTCATTGACCCTAGGCTACAGGCCTGCCTGTACTTTGACCACTGTCCAATATTACTACTACTGTTGAAGACAAAAGAGGCTATTGCTGATTCCTGTGAAAGAATTACCCTATGGGCCGGCCCAGTGGCGCACTCAGTAGAGTGCGGTGCTTGGGAGCACGCTCCCGCCGAGGGTTCGGATCCCATATAGAGACCAGTCCGCTCTCTGGTTGAGTGCGGTGCGGGCGCGACACCGAGGGTTGCGATCCCGTTGCCGGTCACGAAAAAAGACAAAAAGGAAAAAAAAAAAATTACCCTAACTATTTTGCTCATTTCCATAGCTACTGAACAACTTCCTCCAGGTTTTCTACCCGAGGCAACAGAACTGAAAAAAATTTTTTTTGTTTAGGTATTTACATGCAACAAAATCTACCCACTTAAAGTATACAATGATTTTTAGTATATTTACCAAGCATCACCATAATCCACTTTTAAAAATTTCCATTATTCTAATAAGATCCCTCTTGCCCGTTTACAGTTAATCCTCATTCCTACTAACAGCCCCAGGCAACTACTAATCTGCTTTTTGTTTTCATAAATTTGCTTTTTCTGAACACTTCATATAAATGGACTTATTATCTGGTTTGTTTTACTTAGCATGTTTTTGAGGTTCATCCACGTTATAGTATTATCATAATTTGCTACTTTTTATTGCTCAATAGTATTCCATTGTAAGGATATACCACATCTTGTTTCTTCATTCACCAGTTACTACACATTTGCACCATTTCTACTTTTGGGCTATTCTGAATACACTGTGATGAACATAAAAGTTAAAGTCTTTGTGTGGACATATGTTTTCATTTCCCTTGAATAGATATATACAGGAATGGAATTGCTGGGTCACATGGTAACTATATGTTTAATATTCTGAGGAAGTGCCAAACTGTTTTTCTTTTCTTTTTTTTTTTTTTTGAAGATGACCAGTAAGGGGATCTCAACCCTTGACTTGGTGTTGTCAGCACCATGCTCACCCAGTGAGCTAACCGGCCCTCCCTATATGGGATCCGAACCCGTGGCCTTGGTGTTATCAGCACCGCACTCTCCCAAGTGAGCCACGGGCCGGCCCGCCAAACTGTTTTTCAAGTGGCTGCACCGTTTTACATTCCCGCCAGCAACATGTGAGGGCTCCTGCTTCTACATCCTCATCAGTGCTTATTACTGTCTTTACGATTATAGTCATCATAATGTGTATGAAACAGGATCTCACTGTAGTTCTGATTTGTGTTTTCCTAATGACTAATGATTTTGAATATATTTTCATGTGCTTATTGGCCATTCCTATATCTTCTCTGGTGAAAAGCCTATTCAAATCCTTTGCCCATGTTTTAATTGGGGTGTTTGTCTCCTTATTAATGAGTTGTAAGAGTACTGTGCATAGGACATTAATAAGAATTTCTCACCACCTATTTTCTGGATATTTGTAAGCCATGCCACATTGGCCTCACAGCTCCTATCCCCCGACCCCAATGTATTTACTTGTCAATAAATGAACTATGTCTGGAAGGATACACAAGAAAGGAGTAGCACTAGTTGCCTCACATACCCTTCTGTAACTTCTGATTTTTGACTTATGTGCCATAATTACAACACTTGAATCATGTCCAACATCTAGACCTAAATCAGAATTGTTAGCAGGTAGGACAAACACTATAAGCAATATGCTTCATGATGGAGAAATTATTTGGCAGAAACCTTTTCTATTCTTGTCTCTACTACTTTTGAACTAACTTATGAGTGTCCACTCCCCAGTTTTCTCCATCTTCTAGCTTCTCCCTCTATTCTACATTAGAAGAATGACAATAATGAAGTAAAGAAACTCCAAACAGCAAAATAAAAAAAGCATTTTGCTTCATTCTTAAATGTGACATTGCACCTTCCTTTGGTTTACATTTACTAAACTATCAGGTTAAATATAACCATTTTAGGGTATGACTGATGTAACTATTTTCATAACAAAAGGAAGCAAGAAGAGATAAGCAGTCTGCTCTAAATCCAGTGATATGAATAAAAAGATTTGAACAAATACAAAAAACACAAACAAGTCCCCAACCTGAAATAAACTTGTAACAGTGCTGGAAAATGAGGATTACTATTAACAAGTGATAATTTTTTAGTAATTTCCACAGGCCAGAAAGTTGGAAAAATTTGAAAACAAAGGCAGAAAAAATGATGTACTGGGCAAATGGCAACAAAAAGCCAGTGTAGCAATATTAATAGCAAAGAAAATGAAGTTCAAGGTGAAAACATTAAATGGAATAGAAGGATATTTTACACAAATAATAGATTCAATCAACTAGAAAACATAAATGTCAATATTGATTTACAAATATTAAAATCTGTAAGATGCAGCAAAACAGTAATAATCAAAATATAAGAAAGACAGGGAAAAAAGATTATAACTAGAGAAGCTAGAAATACAATAGCAGTGAAACACAAAGCAGAAAATATCAAAAAGGAAAATATAAAATGTAGTACTGCTCAATTAAAAACAAAATCCAGCCTATTTGAAATTAATTTTTAAAATAAATTATAGCAAGTCTGGTCAAGGAAAAAAAAAACATACAGATAGGGCCAGCCCGGTGGCGCACTGGATAGTGCGCCGCTTGGGAAGCGCGGCGGCGCTCCCACCCGAGGGTTCGGATCCCACATACAGACCGGTTCCCGCTCACTGGCTGAGCGAGGCGCGGGAGCAACACCGAGGGTTGCAATCCCGTTGCCGGTCCCCGGTCCGGTACGGGGGCAACACTGAGGGTTGCAATCCGTTGCCGGACACGGAAAAAGACAAAAGACAAAAAAACAAACAAACATACAGATAAACTACACTAGAAAGTCCAAGGGGACATAACAAGTGGAGTGCTGCATATAACAATGCCAACAAAACTAAAAAAGAAGCAAGAAGATACTGTTCTTTTTCAGTCCTTAAGATTAAGTCAAGATTATAATATGTAAATCTATTCCTTATATTACAAATATTTCATTTATATTGTCTTAAGACAGCCATGTTAAAAGCTTTTAGGATTATGCTACCACGCTGTACTTTAATCGCCTACTTAGCAAATACGTATTTAAACATATTTTAAATTGAGATGTGCTAAAACCAAAGTTTCTATGATATTTAAAAAGCCAGGCATGGATGAAAACATTCTTAAAATGAACTCTTTCTTTTTAATCTCTTTCAGATGATTTTTTTTTTTGGGTGGGAGGGGGAGTACTTACTTCCCTATCTCAATTCTGTTTGTATTGCCAGTTCTGCATTTTTCAGTTTAATGCATCATTATTGATTTCCTATTATGTAAGAAGACTGAGTTCTCTTTCACTATTCCCCCAACCTCAACACAACATTCACACTGTTTCTCTATAATTCTAATATCACTTTATTGCTAGATAAAATTTTTACTATTTATGTCACTTTGACTATTACATTCTAATCATGGCTGGCATGTGGTATACTATGATTATTTTCCTTTACAACGTCGTGTTGTACATAGAGTTAAAGGTCATCTTTTTGGTTTTGTTTATTTGGTTTTCTGTGTACTTACAACTTATCCTCAGTTTCTCCACCACTGAGTGATTTCCTTTCCTTTCAATACACTTAGAAACAGCAAGTATTCTACTGACTTCATCTTCTTGGGCTTATCTCTCCTGAAATTTTCTCAATAGTTCTAATATGGACTGGGTTGCATTCTCTACCATTTACCTCAGGATCTCCCTTCATCTTCATTCTGGTGATTCTTTTATCTCTTTCTTTCTCTTGTATTGTATCCCCTGTGTCATGGATCCCAAATCTTCATTTTTCTGGCTTCACATTTCATTTTGTTTGAGTATATCCTTTAATGGCTTCCAGAAAACAGTCCATGAGAGAAACACATTTCTGAGACTTTGCCTATCTGAAAATATTTTTATTCTACTCTCATATTTAATAGACAGTCTGACTAGAGATAAATCTATAGGCTAGTGTGGTATAATAAAAAATATATCTGGTTTGTCCCTTTGTACCTGTCACGGAGCTTCAAAAACTCTTGAGTTATAGGGATGGGAGCTCACCACCGCCACGTGATTAGAGTTGGAACTTTGGGCCAGACTGACCTCCAGAGAGGGAAGAGGAATGGAAATTGAGTTCAGTTATGTAGCCAATTATTTAGTCAATCATACAACTGCAATAAAAACTCTGGATATTGAAGCTCAATGGAGCTTCCTGGTTGGTGAATACACTGATTTGCTGGGAAAGTGACACGCCCAGATTCCAGGAAAAGAGTGTATGGAATCTCTGCACCCCCACTGCACCCCCTTCCCATGACCTTGCCCCACGTAACTCCTCATTTGTCTGTTCTTGATCTGTATCCTTACAATAAAACTGTAATTGTAATATAGAGCTTTCAGTGAGTTCTGTGAATCACCTCAGTTAATTATTGAACCTGAGGGCATTGTGGGAAGCCCCAAATTCATAACCCACTCAGCGGAAGTGTGGGTGGCTTGGGGACACTCAAACTTTGTGGCTGGCATATGAGGTAGGGGCAGTCTTGTGAAAGACCTTGCCATTAACCTATAGGGGTCTCTGCTAACTTTGTGTAGTAGTGTCAGAATAGAATTGTACTTTAGTATATCCACTTGGGGTGGAATTTATAGTCAGCAAGGCAGCAGCATGGGTTGCCTGGAAACACATGAAACTTGTGGTTGGCATCTGTAGTGGGAACAGTCTTGTGAATGACTCTGTCCTTTACTTGTGAGGTCTATACTAACCCCAGATATTTAGGATCAGAATTGAACTGAACTGAAGGACACTCAGTGGTGTCAAAACATAGCTGGAAGTAATTTTCTTTCAAAAGTTTTAAGAAACTGCTATCCTACTTTCCAGCTGCCAGTGTTTCTGTATATAAATCTAAAGGCATTTGTATTCCTGTTCTTTTGTGTGAAATTTGTTTTCCCTTCCTTCTCTAGGTTTTAGAATTTTCTTTTTATCATCAGTGATCTGAAATTTCATCATAATGTGCCTTAGTGAGGGATTATTTTCATAACTTTTATTATTATCAAAATAAATAATAATATGAAATTAATAACATAAAAATAAATGTTTTCAACTGTGGTGTTGGATACTGGAGAGATCATTTTATTTGGAAAACTATGCCCCTTGGTTCTGGGAAATTTTAATTTATTTCTATGATGATTTTTCTCTCTAGTTTCTCCATTCTCTTTCTGGAACTCCTTTCATTTAGATATCGAACTCTCCTAGAATGATTCTCCTTTCTATTTTCCATCTCACTGTCTTTTTGTTCTATTTTCTGAGAAACTTATCTCCTAAACTTTCTACTGAATTTTTCATTTCTGCTGTCACAAAATTAATTCCTAAGAACTCTTTTTAAAATTCTCTAAATGTCCTTTTGTATACCATCCTTTTCTTGCTTTATGGATACCTAATCTTTTCTTACTGAGAATATTAATGTTAGTTTTATTTTTTGAAGTTTTCTTCTTCCTGCAAGAAGAAATTATATATTTCCATAATCTTTCTTCTTAGAAACTTGGTGGTCTAGCTGGGTTGTTTTGTTGGTGAATCTTCCAATTTAAGTATCTTTAGGTCTCTTCTCTTGGGTTAGTCACATTTCTTATAGGAGTTCCTTTAGAAACTTGCCTGGAGATTATAAGCCTGGATGCCAGTGGAGTGGATTTCAGCATTCAGTAATAAAATTTTCACTTAATTCATTTTTTATTATAGTATCCTCATCTTCAATTACACTAGGCTTACCCCTATCCAACGACCCTTAGTTTTACCCTTTCCAGAGGAAAAAATTTCTCATCTTTTGCTGTGATTGAAAAGGAGCAGTCACCTAGTTGTGCAGAGGTGTAGAGAGGTTCTAGAGTCTCCACCTGCTTCTTAGATTTTCAATCATTCTCCTGCTTTTTCCACCCACCTCTTTTTTGGCAGCTAGCCAGTATGGGGATCCAAACCCTTTATAATACCACACTCTAACCAAATGAACAACTAGCCAGCCCCTTTTATCCTTTTTTTATCCTCATACCCAAAGGTACCTAATATAGCCAGTTCTGGGACCTTCTGAGACTCCATAGTGTACACTGGGTTGCTTCATGACTTTTCCTGTTGCTGAGTGAGGGGTCTATAATATGCTGGAATAGTTACCATCTGTTTACTTGCTTCCCAGCTCCCCAAATTTTATTGTTTTTACCTACCCTGGTCTTTGTGCCTTCTTCATTTTATCCTTTTACCATAATTTTAATGGAGTTTGTGGAGTAAGTACAAGCAAAAGTGTATGATGAATTCTAACTATAGATTACATATAAGGAAAAAGCTTACTTACTGCTTGACAACAGCCAAATTAAGTTAGTTGCCTAATTATATGTAAACTGACTGCTGAAGTGAGGTATCGTATGGCTCTTTAAATTTTAACTGCCTAAATGTTATAAAGAAATCAGAATAGTCAAGGTTTTTGATAATTTCAAGAAAAAGTTATAAAGCATCTCAATTCTCTAGAACATCTATATTTCAACAATGCCACATTTACTATACATATTTTCTTTCCTTAGAATAACTACCTATATTTATACCCACAAACAAGAAAAGTAATTTACTAACCTCAGCTTCTGTTGCTTGGGACTGTAAAAGCTGTCGTATACGAAGTATGTCCTTCTCTATTTGTTGAATTCTGGCTATTCTTCGCTAAAATAAAATAAAATTTAAATATGTTTTTATTAAAATATTAGTGTAAATAATCATACTATGACTACCACTTAAAAGCTCAGAGTTAAGCCAAACCATTCTTAAGAAGTTATATATATACATACATACTCACATATATGCATATATGTATATGCATTCTCACATTAATGACAAATTAGAGTCTGTTCAATCTTTTTATATATCTAATCTTATGCAACAGATCTCTACATCTGTTTAGTAAAATTGTACAAATGCTAATCATATATCAAATTGTATGTTGCACATATTGTGAAAATTGATGTTTTAAAGTTACTCGAAGGCTGGCCAGTTAGCTCAGCTGGTTACAACGTGGTGCAGATAAAACCAAGGTCCAGGGTTCAATCTCTGTACCAGCCAGCAGTGCCCCTCCCCCCTCCCCAAGTTATTCTCAAAAAACTATTTCAACAAAGATAAAATTACACCTGAATTTAATCTTTTATATTAATCCAGACATTAATATAATGGATTTACATAAAGCATAGTATACCTGTAAAGGGAAAGAATACCCAATTTGTTTTAATAAAGATCAGGGTTTAAACAATAGGACCAACCCTGCTCAAAGTTACTACTGTTACAAGTCAGTAGTATTTTTCAGCCTTTCCAAATACCTACAGCAGCTAAACTTTATTTTTAATTCCAACACTAGAATCACAAAGATGGAAGAGCTTTTGCTTTCCTACTATACTGAGACTGTTAAATGGCCACAAAGCAGTAACTATAGATCAAACTACATGAAATTAAAACAATGTGGAAAAAGTGTTTTTTCAAAGGAGTTAGATTTTGTTTTAATTTTTATAAATGCTAGTGGAAGAGAAACAAACCAAACTACTTATCTTTATTATAAAGTCCTTGCAAATTGAAATTATTTTTAAAAATTAGTTTTAAAAACAAGTACTGATAATGTACCACTTTCTGCAATAATTCTATAGTTGACATCCTATAATACTGACGTATCAAAAATTGTATTATAAAAATAATTGTTTTAACGGGAGGAAAAAGTGTTAGAAGCTAGATGGAGTAGTTCTAAACTATATTGGTCACACACTCCATTAATAAAAGATTTCTGAGCATATAACCCCTAACAGATAAATAATAAAAGTTATATAACAATTAGCTTTAAGTATGAGAGTACTTCAAAAAATCTGTGGAAAAACAGAATTAAAAGATAATACCAATCTTTCCATGAACTTTCTTTTTTTTTTCCTTTTTGTCTTTTTTTACTGACTGGCAATGGGATCGCAACCCTCAGTGTTGCGCCCGCACCGCGCTCAGCCAGTGAGCGGAACCGGTCTCCACATGGGATCCGAACCCTCGGTGGGAGCGCCGCCGTGCTCCCAAGCGGCGCACTCTCCAGTGCGCCACCAGGCCGGCCCTTTCCATGAACTTTCTGAAGACCCCTTCTATATATACAAAACTTACTCTTAGATCACATCTCAATTTGCTTAAATACAATGTCTTCATGCTTTTGTTACAACCACATTAAAAATGCTTAATGCTGCTACCCAATGTTATAACAAACAAAGCACAGAAAAACTCAAAGAAGTTGTGCTCACTGCTTCCCCAATCAATCTATCTTCCTTCCTTCCTTTTTAACAGTACAAAATGTTGATTCTCTTATCATGATTCTGAAATCATACCACGTCCAATTCACATCATGAAAACAGGCTGAAGAAGAAATGCCTGTACTTTTGGCAGCTTTCTAAGGATACTGCAAAGACGAGGGATCACTTACAACCAGATGGTAAATACAAGAGTACTTCAACAAAAAGTTCACAGAAAGATTCGCTATCTTTTAATTCTATTTTTCCGTGAAATTTCTGAAGTAACCCCATATTTCCTGGCTTTGGAAAAACAACCAAACTACACACAATTACTGGCTTTCTAAGTTTTATTGTTTACTCCCTTTCTGTATATAATCAACACTCCTCCACCCATAAAGTCCTAAATCAAAAATTTTAATATTCAGAGGATGAAAATAGGAAATTATATCTAATATTCCTCTCAATGACATTACATTACTTTATTGTCAACATCTCACTAAATCCTGAAGTCATGTCTATGTCTTGATGTCCATTGAGGTGGGTGATTTCTGACATGACAACCTTGTGCTTCTGTTTCTTAAATGAAAATGGAAGAAGCCAGTGGTACAGTTTCTTTCCTTTTACTATATGACAATCTTGAATATTTATGAAATTATGTTTAATAACAAATACTAAATTGTTCAAAAGTGTGGAGTTGGTATGACTTTAGAAAAAGTGGTTTTAAAAAACTGTAATAGATATACAGATTCAGGATAACTCTCAACAAATTAGAAGGAAAATTCCTTAACTTGATAAAGTTATCTGTGAAAAACCTTGAGTAAACAACATACTTAATTGTAAAATTTTAGAAATATTCCCTTTAAAGTCAAGGCAAGACAAAAGACCACCATTATTGTTTCCATTTAAAGATGTATTAGAATTCCTAACAATACAACAGCAACAAAAAGCTATAATAACTGGAAAGGATAAATAAAAATTGTCCTTATTTACAAACAATATGGAAATTCAAGAGAATCTTAAACTACCGAGACAATCAATAAAAAGAGTTGAGGAAGATTGCTGGATACTTATTATTACTTAAATGTAAATTAGTAATGTTATTAAAGAAAATCCCATTCACAATAACAACCAAACTACAACTTATCTGGGAATAAACCTTTAAAAAATGTATAAGACCTTTATGGAAAGTATTACAAAACTTTACTGAAGAACATAAAATAAGACCTAAATGAATGGAGAGATATGAATTTAATATCAGAACTGATAGTAAATATTAGTGCTTACTATATGCCAGGTTCTAAATGCTTTCATATGTACTAACTCATTTAATCCTCACATTTTACAGTTTACCATTATCTGTATTCTACTGATGAGAAAACTGAGGCAAAGAGTTTGCTCAAGACCACAGTGCTGTTAAGTGGCAGGTCTGGGATTTGAACCTAGGAGATCTGGCTCCAGAGTCCATCCTTTCAACTAAGGTGGCTCAATATTGTAAACAAACCAAGAAGGCTCAATACTGTAAAAATATGCCTTCTCCTTAATCTATAAATTCAAAGTAATTCTAATCAAAAGTCCATAATGCTTTTTTTTTGAATTAGACAAGGTGATACTAAATTTCAAATGGAAGAGTAATGAGGCAGAATACAGCTACATTTTTAAAAACAAAAATAAGGACTCACCCCACCAGGTACCAAGATTTAAAAAAACTACAGCAAATAAATATGGTAACAGTGCAGGCACAGAGAAACTAAAATAGACTAATGGAATAGAGTCCAGAAATATACAGCATATATAAACTTAGTATAAGACAGAGATGGCATTACTAATCAATGGGGAAATATTATAATATCCAATAAATGATAAAAAGAAATTTAGTTAAAAACATAAATATGTGTATATGTATGTGTATACATAACTGTATATATACACACACTTATAAAATCAAATGTGTGTGTATAAAAAGTAGATCCTTACCTCCACAACATACACAATAGCAAATTCAAGATGAATTAAAGACCTAATTGTAAAAATAAAACTGTAAAACTATTTGCAGTGGATTGAATGGCCCTCCAATGTTACTGAAGCTTAATCCCCACTGTTAACTGCTGAGGGTCAGAAATCCTATTATGATAATTGAAAGGTGGGACCTTGAAGACGTGATTAGGTCTTGAGTACCATGCCCCAGCTAATGGATTAATGAAGGTGGTTATGGTGTGGTTCTGATGGCTTTAAAAGGAGAGCATGTGAGTCTCTCTCTGCTCCTGCCTTTCTTGCAATGTGATACCCTGTGTCACACCAAAGAAGACTCTCACCAGATGTGTGCCCTGGGCTTTAGACTTCCCAGCCTCTGAAACTGTAAGCAATAAATTTCATTTTCTTACAAATCACCCAGTTTTCCTTCAGAATAGGAAAAGATGTACAAATAGATCACAGAAAGCACCTGGCAATATGATTAATTTAGCTTTATAAAAAAGCTTATTTTTGTTATCATGATTAATACAATAGAAAATGGGTAAAAGATATGAACAAGTAACTTAACAGAAAGGAAACCCAAAGTCTAATAAATATGTATATTAGATATTCAATTTCAGTAGAATTTAGGGAAATGTAAACTAAAATGACAAAATGTTTCATTGCCTACTGGATTGTTGATCATAAAATCTGACTCACAAGTGCTGGAGAAAACATGCAGAGACAGGAATTCTTGCATACTAGTAGTAGAAATGTAAACTGATAAGATCACTTTGAGAGCAATTTGGCAAATACTAGTTCAAAACACTCATACTTTATGACTAGCAATTATGCTTTTAGGTATACAGCCTAGAGCAGAAGTCTGCAAACTCGGGCCTGATAGACAACTGTTTTTGTAAATTAAATTTTATTAAAACACAGCCATGCCCATTTGTTCATATATTGTCTGTGGGTGCTTTCCTGTTACAAAGGCAGAGTTGATTAGCTGCAAGAGACCATGTGGTCCACAAAGCCTAAAATATTTACCGTGTGGCCCTTTAAGATTGCTGACTCCCAACCTAAAGAAACTCTTGCACATGCTTGTTTATAAGACTTAAATATGTTTATCAGAATTGTTTTTAATTGAAAAATCATAAACAACCTACATGCCCATCAACTAGGGAAAACAGATAAACTATAATAAACTATCATCCACATAATTGTAAAAAATTATAGCAATACCAAAGTATAAGTAACCTTCACCTCATCAATCCCCACACTCCAGAAAATACAACTTGATGTACGTTTTTCCAACCTTTGCTTACATGCCTGTAGAAGAGTAGGCACCACCATACTAGGTAACCAAATATGTATTGAACAAATAAAAGAGTAAATAAATAACCAAACTGTTAACAAAGGTAGCTAGAGACTAATAATCTCACGTAGGCATGAGCAAGAGTGAATTTTGTTTTGAGTTTCCCCAAATTATTTACCATTTGTAGGTGCTTTATTGGTTATTATTATTTTTTTTAATGAATTGCCTGATTCTAAGCCCTTTTAAAAACACAGGCTTGTCTTTTTCATAATTTGTGGGAATTTTTATACTTTAGGGATATTAACTTTTTTCCCTTTATGTGTTATAAATATTTTCCCTTAGTTTATCTTTTGTGGGATGAATGCGTTAAAATTTTATGTAAGAAATCCCAACTCTTTCCCTCTTTTTTTGCTTTTGAGTTTCCTTTCTCATTTAAGAAAGCCTTTGTCTTATATTTCCATCTATTAATTTTAGGCTTATTTTTCACATTTAGATATTTAGTCCATTTGTAATTTTTCTTATTTAAGATGTGAAGTAGGGGTCTGATTTACCTTCTCATCTTTCAAATAGGTCCCTAGTTGTACCTATATCATTTATTAATTTACCCTTCCTCTTTAAACTTATAATGTAACTTTTGTCATTTAAAGATTCCAAAGACTCCTGCATCTTTTTCTAGTCTCTATTCTGCACCATTTGCCCATGTCTATTTCTGTGCTATCATTATACTGCAATTATTATAACATCCTTACAATAAGTTTTAAATGTTAAGGTAAATCTTCATTAATTATGCTTTCTTCCCTAAATATGTCTGAAAATTTTTACATTATAAACTCTAGAATCATTTTTCCAAGTTCCAAAAAATATTAAGATTATGTTTACAATTATACATTTATATATTAATTTAAGAAATATAGACATTTTAAGGATATTAAAGTCTTCTCATCCAGGCTTCTCCATTTTAATAGTAGTAGGTTTTTTTTTCTCCCCCTCACCTCCTTCCCAACCTCCTTTAAGGCAGTATTTATGTCCTTCAGCAATTTTATATTTTTCTTCATGTGGTCTTTCCTAGGTATTTTAAAGTTTCCTGTTATCGTGAACAGGTCCTCTTACCCCCATTTCCATTTTTAACTGGTATTTATGGCTTCTAGAGAAAAGCTACTGATTTCTGTATGTTTCTTAACTCCAACCACCTTACTAAATTCTCTTATTAGTTAAAAAAATTTTTTTTTGTTCATTCTCTATGGCTTTTCTAGGCAAACAACCATATCATTTACAAATAATTATTTTGTCTCTTCCTTTCTAGTTGGAAAATAAGTGTAGTATTATACCACATATGTATTTTTCTCCTTTTATTAGTGTAGCCTCCAAAACAAAGTTAAATAATAGTGATGACAGCAAGCACCCTAAGCACTGTAATGATGATAACCTCAGTAGTTCTCTATTTTCTTAAATTAACATAAGGTTTGCTTCTGGTTTCTGGTAAATACTTAGGTTTGAAAACTTTCACTCTATTGTTATTTTATTTGGAATTCCTATCCACTCCATCTTACAAATGAGGTCCCACATTTTTTTCTCACGGCCTTAGGCCCTCCTGAGATCTCTTTCCAGGGCCATTCTTTCACTTGCTGAGTCACACAAGCAGGGAGTTAGGATGGAAAGGACTGCTCTGGCTACTGTATTTCCACTATTCCCACTGTCTTATTATTTTGAACAGTGCACACTACTGATATAATAATTCATTTAATAATTCTCCAAATAATGGACATTTAAGTTCTCATTTTAAAATCTCTTACATATATTCTTACAATGAATAGCATAAAATATTTATCTAACTAATATAGAGGGCATAGGCATTTTAGTTTTGACAGATAATGCCAAACTGTCCTCTACAAATGTATCAAGTTATTCTTACAACAACAGGGTAGAGAGTTCTTCTCACTCCCACACCCTTAACAATATTGCATGCCATCAAATTGTAACATTTTGCCAGCTTGATAGGCCAAAAAAAAGGTACCTTATTTTGTGTTACACCTCCCTGATGACTAGCTATGTTTAATATGATGTTTAGGTATCTTTTCACAATCGTTTATTAGCCACTTGAATTTATTTTGTGAAGGACTATTTGTATCTTTTGACTGTCTTGCTGTATGGTTATCTTGTTTTCAATTGATTTGTAGGTACTCCTTGCATAGTAGGGATATTAATTCTCTTATATGTGCTACCAACATTTCCATTATTTGCCTTTTTTACATTGTTTACAATATTTCTTTAACCCTAAACTTCATATGGTTATTTACAGAATAAAATGAATTCTTGTGTTTCTGAAAACATGAGATAAAATTTCCTCAGGATATTAACTACCAAAATGAAAACACTATTCCAAAATAAAATAAAAATGACTGTATCAACACATATCGAACAAAATGGCCAAGAAAGAACTCAAGTTAATTTCTCTTCCAGCATATAGATTAAATTGTCTGTAACACACCTATTTAAATTTGTATAGTAGAAGAATTTTCACATCTACCATCTCACCTTATTCTTCGAGGATCTCTAAAAACAAACACATTAACAGATACAGAATACTGTATACAGTATTCCAAATACTCACATTCTAAAAATGCAAATTCATATAAACCAAACTAATAATTCTCACAGTTTTTCCAGAAACAAACATGTTTGACATTTAAAAAAATCCACGAAAATCTCAAATTTAACTCTAAAATGGACTATATTTTTGGAAGTTGTTTATATATTCTTGATTTTAATTCTTAGTTATATGGTGATAAATATCTTCTCCCAATTTGTAACTTATTTTTTCAATTTCTTTAAGGTACAGGATGAAAATAAAGTCTTAATTTTAATATAGTAAAATTTATCAGTCTTTTATTTTAGAATTAGTATTTTATGTCTTAAGAAATCCTCTCCTATTACAATATCAGAAACATATTTATGTATATTTTCTACTGCAAGGCTTAAAGTTTTACTTTTGACATTTAAGTCATTAATCTACCCAATGGGATGGGGGCAAAAGTAGAATAAGAAAGAATACATTATACACAGATATTATAATATGATAACTAACACACACATATGCACCCATGTGCACACATACACACAAACATTAGTTAAGCCCCAAGCCTCACTGTAAAACTAACAGGTATGAACTATGAAATGCACCATGGCACTGGCGTTTAAGTACCACTGTATTCCTACATAAACAGAATATATGAATATATTCTTTTAGCAAGCTACCACATAAAAGATAAAGACTGTACTTTGGGAAATGTAAAATTTCCTATATTAGTGATTTTAAAACTATGAAAAAACTTTACCAAAAAAATGTATTTATACCATACATACAAATGTAGGTCCTTCTTTTTATTTACTATTTACCGAAAAAAAATCTTCAAATGTTTTCCTTACAATTTGTCCCATTTTTTTTTTTTTTTTTAATTGTGCATGTTTGTTTTGAAACAGCCAACACAATTGGCAAAGCCTATTCAGGGCTTAAAAACATTAGTCAGTCATACACTTGTGTCAATATAAAATTATATTCAATAGTATATAAAAATCCTTGATGAATAGCAAAGTTAGTTAATATTCTTTATTGACATTAGTTTAGGGTAGAAATATGGGAATGTTTTCTACTCAACTTATTTAATCTTTCCTAATGTTCTGTTTCCTTCCTACTATCCTTGAATGAAGGCTTCCTTTTTAAGTGCACAACTTGAATAGCAGTGACAAATTCTGAACGTAATTATACACACTTAGTTAAAAGAAGTAAAAAATCTCAAAAGAGAACTGAAGCTGGCTATCAGCTACCAGAAGACCAGCAACTAACTTTCTCCCTCTTAGAATTCCGAGGCACAACAAAACAGTACCGGGGAAATGAATATGGTGGAGGCAGAATTATGTGAATATTGGGTATGCTGCCCAACAGCCACAATAAATTATTCTTACTTTGAAATAGTGCCAAAGTAAAGACAGACAAATACCTTTAACAGCAAAATTTAATCAATGTTAACAGCTGTAATTCACTACATTCCTAATAGCTCTTCCCTGGCTGATACTGGTTTACAGTTTAAAAACAAAGAAATTACCTGTGCTCGTTTTTCCATATCCTGGCAAGTACCTAGTTGTTCTTCCATTGCAACTCTGATTTGCCTTGCTTCATATTCCAATTGCCTTCTGGTCATATCTGTTTGTAGGGAAAACTAAAACCACAAATAATATAAAAATATTAATATCTCATTGTGTTTGTGTGTTTATCAACAAAAGCAAAAAAGCACACAAATACCAATAAAGAAAATTAATAAGCAAATGTTCATGGTGCATGAGAGTTATGTTTTATTCCAAGGAGTCCTAAAATTTGATTACAGGTGCTAGGCTCAGTCTGGATCACTGAATGTGATAACAGAATTGAAACACTTATTGTCCCAAAGTCCCAAATGGCTTTAAGTAAACTGGACTACTTCATTTAAAATATACTTGGTCCAGTTAGGATAAGACTAACTTCAGTTCCCTTATGCTTCTTCTTCACTGAAGAGGCACTACTTTTAATTATTAAAAACTAGCATATTAATGTGGACAGCATAGAAAAACCAAGAAATAGGTCCATCATCCTTATGTTTATCCTTCAATTTAAGGTAAGGATTACCATACACATATAGACTAAACAGAGAGAACTTTTTCATTTGTAAAATGAAGAAAATGGGATAAGAAAAAGCCTTTATGTAATTTAGATAATCATATATAAAGCAGACAAAGTCAACACAGACTTTGGTAAAAATCCAAAAATGAGTCAGGGTTGAAATAAATAAAAAGAAGTACTTCCTCACAGAGTGGGTGTTAACACATTCAAAAATTTATTAACCCTCTAATTAAAATTCCAGGCCCTCTGATAACTGCCAGGTATACAGAAGGATGAAAAGGACAAGGTAATTAAATTTATAAACACATGTCCTAAGAGGTAATAAAGGCTACAAATATGATTAGATAAAATGATAGTTAACAGAGTTACAATGGGCCATGAAGGGAATAAGGAAATGTTATAGATTTTTTCACGTTCTATGTACCCAAAGAAAACTACATCTGACACATCTGACTTGGAATAGTACTCTGGTCCAAGAACTCCAAATTACATTCTCAGTTTAGGTTAGAGTAGTTCTCACCCTTTTCCCTTGCAATATACAGATGACATTCATATGCAAAATGTATTCCTATAGGCACACCCAAATTATGGGTTGCAATATAGATTAAAAAGTCTGCATGTTATTTCTTACTCCCACTGAACCAGATGTAACTCCACTCTTTTGTCTTCCACTTCCCAAACCCCCCTGCAAAAGAAAGTTAAACATGACATAGTATGTTGTAATAATGTGGTTTAGAATTGATGTTCTAAGTAATGTCTAATATCTTGACAAGCAGATAAATATTCCCATATGAAACTGTTCATTAACTTGGCTTCCTAATATAAAAACAAAATTTGTGAAATTTAAAATTAAGGTATAAAATACAAGCTGTATAAATTTGTTAACATTGCCGATGGTTCATAATAATGTCTTATATATACTATTAAATAAACATGATTGATTATTTAATAAATTAATATGGAATAATTAACTTGTTTGACAACTCATTTTTGTTTCAAATCTTAAATAACTGTCCTTGAGTTGTTCATATACACCTAAATCCTTTCCTGAACCTAACTGCATGCAGACAATGAAACTATGGATTTTGTAAGTTTTCTAATTACCAAAGTGATGGGGAACAAAACTATGCTTTGTTATTTTAGTTTATAAAAGTAAAAATCCTGCCAAATCCTTCTGAGTTCCCTAATCCTCATCTGTTAACAACTTTCCAATATCCATTCCTTCACTACTTATGTCTCCTTAATTCCCAGGAAGATTTTTAAGGACACTGTCAGAGAGATACTTTCTCTCCCTCTCAAAACTCAGGATGATTGTTCTAGGAGAGTGAGCACTTCAGCTATGGTTCTAGCTACTGCCAGCCAACACCCACACGGGAAATCTGGCTAACTACATGTTTTGGAAAAAATTTTCCTTCTTTCTATTTTTACTTTTTTGTCTATTATGTTCTCTCAAAGTGCCATTAGAAAATAAAAAATCTAAGCTAAGAGAATAATTTATATTTAAATTAGCCTATTTTCTCTTTTTAAAAAATATATAAAATATTTATGGACAACATCTGAAATATATAGTCTTGTCTGAGAAAATTAATGTATTTTAAAAATATTCTTATATGTGACATTCCATGAATAAAATAGTTGACATGGAGAGGTTGGGTGGAGAAGGACAGGCTGATAGGATTACAATTTTTTTTACATATTTGAAAAACAACAGACATTAGTACTTGCAAAAATACTAAAAACCACACCTATAGCTATTATCATTTATGCCTGGAATAGGATTCAAATTATCTTCAAAGGTATTTTTATTGCAAAAACTATCTGGCATGATTCCTGTAATACAGTACAAAAAATAGGCAGATGCTGATAAATATTTCTAGACAATTTGTTTGGCAATTCAATACATGTAATAAAAAACCAGTTGCCTAGTTAACTCTTGAGTCCTTTAGGATTCAAACAATAGATTTTCTCAACTAGAGGTTTACAATAAATATTTGTTTGAGTACAATGAAGTTTTCTCATCTTTATAAACAAAAATCCATTAACTATTATATATTCAGATTTAAAGTTGGATAAAACATATTACAGTTTACAAATAACTATAAATTCAGTTATCCTGAATTTTCAATGGATAGCCTGGGTTATTTTTAAAGATCAAGTTATTAAAGTCTAAAATAAGTTGTATTGCCAAGTTACTTACATTTTCAGTTAAAGGCAGACTATCTATTCTTTTAGTGAGATTCTGAAGTTGAGCATAATACCAGTCTTTTTCCTTTTCTTCTTTGTCAAGATCAGCAAGAAGTAATGATCTATTTTTTAAAAAAAGGTAAGTTTACACAATGCTAATACAGACCGCAAGTAAGAATCCTTACCAGCTGTCATTGTAAAGTTCTCTATTTAAACTAAAGTATTAATAATAAATAAATGAAAAACTTATTGATTTGGATTTTTGAAGGTAGAACTTAGAATATTGTAATCATTAAAATTTGAATACTAAAAAGTTTTTACTTTTTTTCCTAAGTAAGTTGGTAATCATCCTTACTGGAATCATTCTTACTGGAATCATTCTTACTACAATACTTATTTAGAATACTTAACCATACCTACAGCAACTGATCCTTTTTTTTTTTTTTTGTGACCAGTAAGGGGATTGCAACCCTTGGCTTGGTGTCGCCCGCACCGCGCTCAGCCAGCGAGTGCACCAGCCATCCCTATATAGGATCCGAACCCGCGGTGGGAGGTCTGCTGTGCTCCCAGCGCCACACTCTCCCGAGTGAGCCATGGGGTCGGCCCCTACAGTAACTGATCTTTAATGAAGGTACAAAGAATACATATTGAGGAAAGACAATTTCAGTAAATGGTACTGGGAAAACTGAATATCCACGTTCAGAAGAATGAGACTAGCCCCCTACCCATCACCATATACAAAAATAACTCCAAACAGATTAACCTGAAACTATGAAACTATTAGACTTCAAAAGCCCAGAAAAATAAATAAATGGGATTATACCAAACTAAAAAGCTTTTGCACATCAAAGGAAACTGTTTAACAGAGTGAAGAGACAACCTACAGAGTGGGAGAAAAAATTTGCAAACTATACATCTGACAAGGTATTAAGATCAAGAATATGTAAGGAACTTAAACTACCCAACAGCAACAAAACAAAAAACCCAACTGAGAAATGGGCAAAGGGTCATAATAGACACTTTTCAGAAGAAGACATACAAATGGCCAAAAGGCATATGAGAAAATGCTCAACATCACTAATCATCAGGGAAATGCAAATCAAAACAACAGTGAGATTCCACCTCATTCCTGTTTGAATGACTATTATCAAAAAGACAAAAGAAAAAAAGCGTTGGTGAGGATGTGGAGAAAAGGCAATACTTGAACACTGTTGGTGGCAGTGTAAACTTGTATAGCCGTTATGGAAAAGAGTAATGGAGATTCCTCAAAAAGTTAAAAATACTACTACCATTTGATCCAGCAATCCCAGTGGGTACATACCCAAAGGAAATAAAGTCAGTATGTTGAAGAGATAGCTGCACTCCCATGTTTACTGCAGCACAATTTGCAAGAGCCAAGATACGGAATCAACCTAAATATCTAACAACAGATGAATTAATTAAAAAAGCATGTTATACATACACATTGGCATACTACTCAGCCATAAAAAAGAAATGAAATCCTGTCATTTGTGGCAACATGGATGAACCTGGAGAACATGATGTTAAGTGAAGTAAGCCAGGTACAGAAAGACAAATAACACATGACTTCACTGATACGTGGAATCTAAGAAAAAAAAAAAGATATTATAGAGGCAGAGAATAGAACAGTGGTTATCAGAGACTGGGGAGGGAAGTGGACGGAAAACAGGGAGAGGCGGGCCAACAGGTACAAAATTACAATTAGAAAGCAGGAATAAGTTCTGATGTTCTATAGCACAGTAGGGTGATTATGGTTAACACTTAAGTTTTGTATATTACATAATAGCTAGAGGAGAGGCTTTTGAATATTTTGCCACAAAGAAATGATAAATGCATGAGGTGACTGATACATTAACTACCATGACCCAATTATTATACAATGTATGTATGTATCAAAACATTACATTGTACCCTTTAAGTATGTACAATTACAATGTGTAAGTTACAAAAAATAAATATAACGAAAGACTTTCTTCACATTTATTTTAGTCTAAGAATATAATGACAGGTAACAGGTACAGATATAACAAAATCTAAAATTAGTACAAGATTAAAAAGAATAATAAAGGAGTTAAGTAAAGCAAAAATTATGTCAGAAAAAACAAACCTAGAGTATAGACAGACAAGTGTGGCTTTCAGTTTCGCAGTAGCCAAAATAATAAAAAATATATTGTCACTTTGTAATAAGAAAAAGTTACTCTGAGGGAGAGAAACTTATTTGGATATGAATCTGTTATATAATTCCTGAACAATCCAATTGATGATGTCCTCATTAGCAATCTATATTAAGATACTATATACCTGATCATTATAAATATAAATGCACAATATAAGAAAACATAGTAGGTACACAAAGTATATGGTCTATCTCCTTTCATGTGGCTCTTTCCCAAAGCAACCACTTACAGCTTTCTTTTGTGTATTTCTCTATAAATGCAAGGATATATGTACATACTTACATGTACATTTTGAACATAAATAGTAGCATTATATATGTTGTCCTATAACTTTTTTTCCACTTAAAAATCTATCTTGGAGATCATTCCATATCAGAACATAAGGAGTTATTACATATTTTTTGCTAGTTGCATAATATTCCATGTATTCCACAGTACTCAAGCATCCATGAAAGGGTACACTATAATCAGTTCTTCATTGGTGGGCACTTGGGCCCTTTCTAATCTTTCTAATGCTGCTGAACAGCCTTATTTAATTCTCAATTCACAGATGTGCAAGCCTGTATACAAGATGAACTCTTAGGGTATACAAATTTTTAACTTATTGTCCTTGTTACATGTACCAATTTATGCTCCTACTACTATCTTTACCAACATATTTAATCCAACTTTTTAATTTTTGCATATCTAGGGTTTTCTTTATCATAACGGTTTTAATTTGATTTCTTTTTCTTTTTTCTCCTTTTTGTCTTTTTTACTGACCGGTAACGGGATCGCATCCCTCGGTGTCACGCCCGTACTGGGGACCGGCAATGGGATCGCAACCCTCGGGGTTGCGCCTGCACCACGCTCAGCCAGTGAGTGGGAACCGGTCTCCACATGGGATCTGAACCCTCGGTGGGAGCGCTGCTGTGCTCCCAAGCGGCGCACCCTCCAGTGCGCCACCGGGCCGGCCCTGCCCTAATTTGATTTCTTAATATGAGTGAGGTTAAGCATTTTTCAAGTTTAAAAACCATTTGTCACTATTTGAGGAAGGCATCCCAGGAACCTGTTTCAATTCTTTGATGAACTGAGGAATTTCTAGCCATCTGCCTCAAGACAGCCTGCGGCTCACCCTGTGGATTCTGGACTCTGCAACATCAATTGGATTTCCACCCTGCCTGCTAGCCCTACAAAAGCTTCCAGGCAGCCAGTCCCTACCATGTATGTAAACCAATTCTTTAATTTATATTTAAGAAAATTCTGCAGTGAGATTTGAAGGAGGAAGAGGAAGGGAGGAGATCTGGGGCATGATGAGTGAGACCTAGTCTGCCCACAACCAACAGGACAGGAAACGTTCGGGGTGTAAGGGGAGTACTGACTATTTTCCTTAGAGGGAATTATATTGGAGCCCTTCTGACTAACATGGGGCTGATTTGGGCAAGAGTATAGCCTAGAGTTCTCCCACCCTACAGGGATACTGCCATATTCCCAATATATTCTTAACTCTTAAACTTTCATGTTATTCCAGTGGTTACCATTGAGCTACCAAAGATGACAATGGAAATGTGCTGAAGCTGGCAATAGGCTCAGCCACTGTGACTTACATTTGAAAGGGCTCAGATTCTGAAAGAAGGGGAGGGAGAGTTGCTTTCAACAATGAATACACACCATTCTTGTATTTGCCCAATGGTAGACTGAACTAGGAACCAGAGAACCAGAATCTGTGGGCTAGCAGATCTCTTAATCTATAGGAATGCACACTTAAATGATTGTGCCAATTACATTCTTAACTGAATTGTCTTGACCTTTCCCTCCACCCCTGTTAATTATCCCTCTTAAAAAACAAAATATCCTTTTTAATAAATTAATTTATATCTTTAAAAAATTTTGTATTCCCTTTTCTGTGACTTTTTCTTACTCATTAATAAAATGTCTTCTATATTAAAATGGTAGCCCTTTATCAGTTACTGTGTTACATATATAATTTCTCAGTTTATCACTTGTCTTTTAATTTTGTTTATTATGTTTTTAATATGTAGAAAATTTTGGTTTGCATGTAGTCAGATTTGTGGATATTTTCTATTATGCCTTCTGAAGTTTGGTCATACAGAGAGATGTTCCCCACTGTGATATTATTGTTACTTTAAAAGTTCTATTTAATGAATCTTAGTAGTGAGTATAAATATGAGTATGTGGAAGGTTCTGTTCTTGCTAAAATTTCCTTTCCTTTCCTGAGAAGCAATTTTAAAAACAAGAAATAAGCCTTCATTCTTGATGTGGCAACCTCGATAGTGAGGGAACACATGGGAAAGAAGTTAGCCCCTGCTTAAAATGTAGCAACCTCAGGGAAGTGCAGACCAATGAGAAGCTGCCCCTTCTCTCCCATTTCTGACAAGAACAGGATAAAGCGCTGTTAAATGCCTGAACCCCTTTTACAGCTGGGTACCATAACTAGCATAAAGATGAGATCTGATTTTATTTTTCAGCTTTCCCTAGTGACCTGCAGGACCTATCAGTTCCAAGGTGAGGGAGAGTGGGATAGATGGTGATGCTACTATTTCCTCTGATTGTTCTCCAGTAAGTGGCTTTATGAAATAAGAGCTGGGTGTTAAACATATTACTTAAATTGACAGCCAATGGCAGTGGTGGTGGTGGAGTGAGGGGGAGATTAGGGATACTAAGGAAAAGCTGTTATTATCAAATTTAAGATTAAATTGTGACAAAATGCTCTGGGGAAGCCAATGTTACAGCATCTTCAACCAAAATGATAACAAGTGGGTAAATGATAGTAGTTGACCTAGTGACTCACACAACGGTTCTTAAGGCTCAGATCTGAAATTAGGGCTAGACCCAGAGCAGGTAAGGTCTTTAGGGTTTAGGGTAGTAAAGGCCTGTTTTGTGATTGCCAACAAATATTAAAAATGTTTCTTCGTGTTAATCTCATGTCTTCTTGGTTCTCTAGCTAACTCAGGGTCACCTAGAAGAACATGGCACATATGTATTAGGCATTCAATAAATATTTGTGCAATTGATTAATAATTAACATGACAATGACAATAGCTAGCATTTATTGAATGTTCTATGGACCAGGCATAGGGCTAAGGGCTTTTTAAAAAACCTAATTTAATCCTCGCAACATCCTTTGAGGTATTCTTAGGCTCACTCTATGGACTGGAAAGCTAAGGTTCAAAAAAGCTATAAAACTATTGGGCCGGCCCGGTGGTGCACTGCTACAGTGCGCCGCTTGGGAGTGCGGCGGTGCTCCCACCGAGGGTTCGGATCCCACATACAGACTGGTTCCCGCTCACTGGCTGAGCGAGGTGCAGGCGCAGCACCGAGGGTTGCGATCCTGTTGCCGGTCCCGGTCCGGTACGGGCGCGACACTGAGGGTTGCGATCCGTTGCCGGACACGAAAAAAGACAAAAAGGAAAAACAAACAAACAAACAAACAAAAAAATATGATCTGGGTTTATGGCTGGCTTACACCTCTAGCACTTATCTTGGGCAATACAGAAAGTGAGAAAAAAGAGACAGAGTTAATCTATGAGTTAAGGAAGGAAAAGAACAGAAACAAAACAAGACAAAAGAAACAAACAAACAAACAAAAAACAGAGGGGAGAAAATCAAAGTAACACAGAATTTTCAAAAGCTGAGGAAAACAAATGTCCAGATCAAAAAGGGCATAGTGATGGGGCCAGCCCGGTGGCGCACTGCTACAGTGCGCCGCTTGGGAAGTGTGGCGGCGCTCCCGCCGAGGGTTCAGATCCCACATACAGACCGGTTCCCGCTCACTGGCTGAGCGAGGTGC